TTCAATTGAGGGTCGTTGTTACCTTTTGGGTATGTGGTACTTTTTTTCTGGTGGTGTATTGTAATGTATTTTGGCTTAATTTACTTTCAGAGTAATGCTACTCTTATTATATTTTTATATCACATTCTCATACCATCTCATGTGGCAGATGAAGTGGACAATTACATCAATTTAAAAATATCAATAAATCATAAAAGAAAAGAAAATGTTAAATTAATTTTAATTGATGTGGTTGTCCACTTCATCTGCAACATAAGGTGATGTGAGAATATGATAAAAGTAGTATTATCGAAGTATCAATAGTATCAATAATATAACGATGATTAACCTAATAATACGAGTAATGTATGAGTAATTTGAGTTTGTATCAAGCAACCATAAGTTGAGTTTGACATGCCAAATATATTTCAATACTTATCCCAAAACACACGCGGTATGAATAGTCTATTCATAAAAGATTTTTCTTTTTTGGGTCAAAAATAACATTAAAAAGATGATCACGCTTCTCCCTTCAATATATTCCCCATATTTCCCATCCTTCCAACTTTTTGGGGAATAAAGAAAACCTCTTTAGTGGCCGGTGGGGGCGTGTTTTTCATTCTGTGTACCAAACATATAGTTTTATTAGTGAACCAAAGATTGAAAGTGACACCGGACACATTGACGAATGCAGCCCTAATGCGCCCGAGAGGAATAGAGAAAAGTGACACAGAGATATGTTTTGTATCTTAAATTAATCAAACAGAAGAAAAGTCAAATAAAACAACTTAATTAGAGCACTTCCACCATTTGCCATGGCAAAGGGCAAGGGGAGACAATGACTGTTACTATTTACATGAATAGTGGCAGCCCTTGCAAAAGGCTTGTGGTATTTCCATCCATTGTCATGACAACCATTATTTACATGAGATATGGGGAGAGAAATTTGTATAGAGTTTTGGCGTGGGAAGTGAAAAATATGACCAAATATTTATTTTTAAATTTTTTTGAAATTCTTAGTATTTTTTTAGATTTTTTTTGGTTGCTGACGTCAACTAGAGCAAGGGCGGGTTTTGCCTGCGAGCTGGCCCGATTTGTTGGGACCCATAAGCTGCCAAGGTTGTAGAAGCCCGCTAGAATGTGAAATGGGGGCTTGGGCCCCCTGTTGCCCAGGCTAAAGGCCAACACTGGAAGTGCTCTTAAGCATGCAAATATGGATTAAGCAATGTGTAAAAATGAACCACATGTGAGAGAAAAGAGAGAATTGTAGCGATGGCGGAACACCAAACAACCAAACTATTTTTTTAATTTTAACAAAGCGATATTAACTATTCTAATGTTTGGGGAGATGAATTCAACTTGGGTGCAAAGGGTCAGTACCTTGGTCAACTAGCGTAACTCATATATAACTATTCTAATGTTCAGGGAGATGAATTCAACTATGGTGCAACGGGTCAGACACAGTACCTTGGTCAACTAGCGTAACCTATATATGCACCCCCAACAACCAAACCTGAATAAGTATTTAAGTGAATGTGAAATCCGAAGGTGCTTTGTGCGCCTCCCCTTGAGATTTAATTTGTTTTCATACAGAAGTATAAGTTCCTTGACCTAGCTCCTCCAGAGGGTTTCTTTGCGGAAAATTAAAAGAAAATATATGTAGGACTGAGAAGTTAGACTAATTAATCATGATTTTTAATACACAAGAATGTGTGAGAACTGCGTTTTCACTTTGAAACTTGGATTTGAGAATGTCCAGGTCAATTTTCCTTTTTTTGGGTCTGACAAAGACAATGGATGTCCACTTTCACCAAACATAAGGTTTACTTCTCTCTTATTTATTTATATACTTTTTGGTGACAAAAACTAGGTTTCCTAACTCGATGTGCTTGATCTCGACCTTCTTCTTTGAATATTAATTTTCATGTTGAACTTTTTGATTTATAAACTAGGGTGCAATTTAGGAGGGCTCATTCTTAACATGCCTAACCCAGTTCGAATTTGAACTAGCATTTGAAAGAGCAAACGACTGGAGCATGAGTTTTGAAATTAGGTTAGGTACCAACTCCATCAAAATTTGACTTGAGCACGAGTTGCAGGTTTGGCTCAAACCGTGTTCTCAACAAGTTACAAAAACCAAATTTACAACTCCAGCACACATGACAGATATATAATTTTTACACATATACATGAAACATAAATCGTATTCGATATTACATATTGAAAAGAAAAGTTTTAGAATTAGGATAGGTGAAAATTTCGATCCATTCGTGATGGAATGGAAAAGCAACTTTAGTTGATAAAAAGAAGAAAGAAAGTTACAATTAAGCGTGGACTTAGAGATTTTCTGGTGGCTAGGTTATATATATTTTTGGAAGATTCACTATTATACCTAATATAGGGGTCCAAATTATAAAAAAAAGCCTATATGAAATGGACTTTAGAAACACACCCAAAGCACATTTATAACATAACAAAGAGGCTTTTAACTTCTTATAAATTACAAAATTGCCATTGATTTATTAAAACAAGCCCAATCCCAAAACCTCATAAAAAAAACCCAAAACACTCAATAGGGCATCAAATTAATTTAATAATCAAAATTAAATTCCATAAGGCCAGCTATCATTTTTCTAGTGTTTTTTGGGTTTGTTTATAGAAATTAAATGATGTAGGATTTATTCATATCATTAGTGCTAAGAATGGGTATAGGACTAAATATCTCTAAACTTTTTCATATCTATTATGTGTGGATGATTGATTGACTGACTTTATCTTGAAAGGTGTTAGAGTGTAGCAATTTTCATTAAATGGGGTAAATTTCATAAAAATTAGCACCAAAAATATGTTTAATTGAGTTGAATCTATGTGTACAAGTTGTACCACGTAGCTGCACTACCATACTCTTTTATCATTTCTCATTGATATGGGTGTCCTTAGTAGAAAAGGAAGGGTGAAATATAAATTTGCTCCCCATGTTTTGCTCCGTTTTTCAAATTTTCATCCATGTGTTTTTTAATTTGACTAATTCGATCATCGTGTAAACCAACGACTTCTGAAAGGAATCTACGTCTTTCTGAGACTAAGAAAGGGTTTGTGTGACTGGGTAAAGTAAAGTTATATATGTTTCTCCAACTTCAACATGTTGTTACCAAGTTGACAAACAAAACTACGGGTTTGTGTGACTGTGTTTCTTCTTGTACTTACTTTTCATGTTGGGCAGGTCAATTTTTATTTGGCTAGAGCAACATTCGAAGAAACATCCTTAGTTATTGACCAACACCTTACACAAAAAGGAAACCTAATAATATCTTATCCATAAGAGTGTTGAAAGTATTTGTCCTACATTGAAAAATTAAGGCTACTCTCCCAATTGCCAATTGATTTTAGAGTGGAACCTCAACTTCCTTCATAGTATCAGAATAAGACTTTACGTGTTGAGTCCAACGGCCACATCAAACTTTAACGTACGATCTCATGCATGTGTGTGCTTTCTTCAACGAGTTGCACAAAATTCTGTCAAATCCATTCTCTTCAAAGAGAGGCTTTTGACATAATTGGTTAAAATGGAGAGTCAAGGTTACGTTAAAGTTTCAAAGCAAGACAATTTGATTTGTTAAACTAGACTTTCATTTCAAACCAAATCTTTTGCTGTTCAAATATAAAATGTCTAAGCTAACCAATTATTCAATAGAACGCACACGTGCGATGTGCATATAAACTTTTTTGACCATATATTTCATAAAAAGAAATAAGACATTGAAGTTTGATAAATCATTTCCTTACTGGCGATTTAAGAAAAAAACCAACCCGAACCCAAGAACGAAATTTCTTTGCATACAACGATAGTCACATCACATGGTTAGGTATTGCAGGACGGCAAACTATATTTTGCGTATCTGCTGCCCCCCGTGGTATGCCGTTCTATGTGGCAACGCTTCACTCATATTATTACGTGTATATGTACTTAATGTTGAAGAATATAAGTTCCACGTCGGATGATTGACTAAATAAAATACAACCTTAATAGCACGGAAGCCTTTTGTGATAAAACCTAACACCTTTCAAACTTTGTAGGCGGTTAAGTTAAAAACAATATCTTCGTGAGAACAGTTGAAAAAAATGAAGTATGTATCAGAACATATTGACATTGTCAACAGCTGATGAATTGGAGAGAGTGAAAGAAAAAGACTTGCAGGTATCCCAAATGTTATACACATGTAACTGGATTATAGCTGGAAAATATGTGTTCATTTGAGTTAAACGTATGGACAACAACGAAAGTCTTCCTTTTCTTTTATAATGGCCAATTGAATTTGAACCGACACACTTTTGGTCAGTACTGCAAGAAACAAGACATTAATAGATTCTAGGTTTTGCTGAGTGTTCATAGCAACTTGGCCAAGTCATGTAATTAATTCTAGGTTTGTCTGTTGAATTGTTCTATCCACTCTGCAGAACTTAGCTGTAACCCAGTAACCAAACCCTAGTCTCAGTTGAATTTATAGTCGTTATATTAATTGTACAAGCCAAACGGTTGAGGGTCCAAATTCCTCATCATTCTTAGTCTTTAATTATAATTTGGTTGATCAGTTTGACGATTTTAATTTGTAAGATGAACATTCCACAATGACTATATATATATATATATATAATATATCTCCTGTTTTGGTCATACTATTGACAGATCTATTCTGCATGTATGTGATTCTTCCATAGTTGTTGGCTAACTAAACAGACTTCCGTTTGGTGTGATATATATATGTTGATCTTTGATGAGAATTTTGAAAGTTCCATGCTTTGACTTTGCGTTGACAAACATTATATAGGAAAAGCTTCATATTACTGAAAATGATATTCGTAACAAGAATGATATTAGTCATACAATTCTAGGTCATGTTGCATCAACATTTGTAACGGAGGCGAAACCACTTGTATAGATTTCATCTTTATTGGAGAAGTGGTTTACAATATGAAAGTTTCATACTTTCTAGCATTAATCTTAGAAGTATATATGTTCTTCATTTAGATATTAGATATCTTTCTAGAGCAGTTTTACCAACAACCCTCTTTTGTACCAAAAGTTCCTTTTTGAATTCTCCCCAAGTGAAGGGCTGATACTTTTTAGGGTTGGTTTTTGGGTCCATGAGCTCAGGAGGGCACTCAATGAGGGCAGAATTACTAGGGCTCATGAAATATGCTGCTGATAGCCTATTCTTCTCCTTGTTAACCACTGCTCTGTGCACTACACTCCTCAGCCTCCCATTAGTCCAAGCCTGCCAGCAATGAAAACAAATTTATAAATGAAACTAAATTTTCTCGTACCAAACTGTGAATTTGACCCATTAGTTATGTTGAATCCTATTAAAATGTGTGCTCCAGATTCACAGTTTGGTAATATAAACATTTGTTCGGCAACAAAAGAATAGTATTTAAACTAAATCTAATTATATAATACACAATTGCATATGAGAGGGAAATTACTTCAAGGGTGTCACCAATATTGATGATGAAAGAATTTTGAACAGGGCGGATACCAATCCATTTGTTGTCACTCATCAGAACTTGAAGCCCACCAACATCATCTTGCAGCAATATGGTTAAGGTATGGGGGTCTGAATGGCTCCCAAGCCCAAGACATTTTTCCGGGAGAGGACAAGGTGGATATCTGTTGACCCTGATCATGGTAGCCTCTTTCTCTTCAAAGTGCTTTTTAAAAAAGTCGTCTGGAAGGCCCAGTCCATGAGCTAGCATCTCGAAAATGGTCATTCCTAGATTGTCTAATGCATTCAAGTAGCCAATCATGGCATTGCTGATGCATATATTCCAAAGATTAGAATTAGTTTTATACCATGATCAATGAATAAAACTCTTTGGCCACAATGAATAAAATCATATGTTGGGTTAAATAAATAAAATAAAACTATAATTTTGGTCATATAGTATTCAACGGCAAAACAACCTAATTGGAAGATGACATATAAGAAATATAAGATTGTCATAAAATTTAAACACATCATTTTTCAATTAGAGTATATTGTGTCACTTAGTATTGTCACATGCCAGGAATATCCCGAAGCATCAATAAATATGGTTCTAAAATCAGTGATCAAGAATTCAAGTATTTAGAGGATATGAAATTCTTACCTAAATGGCTGATGTTGATCACCAAAAACCTTTGTAGCAAATCCAACTACCTGTTGTGGGGACTGGAGCAATTGCAAGATCTCTGCCCAAGGCAAATTTTTTCCATAATCAGGATTTGTGGCACAGTAACCCAGTGGTAAGCTAGCTGATCTAACACCCTTCAACTTCTGCTCCATTGGAAGATCAAAAAGCCCATTTAAGCTCCCTATGAAACTCTCTATGGTCTCCAGAGCAACCCCATGATCCACTAGCTTGAAGAACCCCCATTTCTCACAAGCCCTCACCATGACTTGGCAAACCTTGTCATAGTTAGGGTTTTTCCTCCCATCCAAAACCCCTTGGAGACTTATGACAGGGATGTCATCTGCATCTGCAAAGTCATCATGGTTAATTTCTGGCCATTCTTCTGTAGACCAAATGAAATTCTTGACACTTAGCTTGTGCCCCATGGAGGAAAGTGACTCGACATATTGGTCTTCAATTTGTAGAGCCATGCCAAAGTCTCAAAGATTAGGGTTTGCAATTTCCTTTGCTCAATTCAGTATTAATTTGAACCAGAAACTTCATGTATATAAATGATTCATTTTGTGTGCTTTGTTAAGTGTGATAAAATTGAAGTTGATTGTAGTTTTCAAGGAGATTCATGTTGGCTTATGGTATCATTGTTGCCTAGGATTTATAACGAGGCTGTTTTTTAGTGGAAAAACATGAGATTCTATTGGAGACAACTAAGATTCCAACAACAGAGCCGTGTTAGGAAAACAATGAATGCATCATATGATGTCCTTTCCGCCAACGGGCCAACTAACAAAGGGAAAATTCTAAACCTGAATTTTATAAAAGTTTTTCTAACTAAACTGATTTGTTTTTGTTACATAGAAATGGATCAAGCAATTGATCTATTATAGTAGTCGTAAGTCATGACTCTACTCTCTCAGTAGAATTTCCATACCACATGGATGATTTGTATAATAATAAGCATAACGAGCTAATTTATCTATAAATCACTTTATTGGCCTTTTGAAAGACAAAAGCAATCGTAGTACTAATCAACTGGAACAAAAGCATAGCTCACTACTCGTTAAACCAAAAAAATTACTGCATTTTAAATTAATTTAATGTTTAAATTTAGGACTTTTTTTTTCACCGGGAAGATTAGCATGGCAGTACTGCCTCCTTGACCAATTTGTTACAAATCTACTTCTCTTCAGCTTGGCATCTTGGTGTGACTTTCTTAAAGTTTTTGTGCTCTTTGTTCATTTTTCACATTTTTAAGTGCAATAATAATAGAGATATTTAGTCAAATATCCATTCTTAGCACTAAAACTATAAATAAACCATATACCATTTAATTTCTATAAACATACAAAAAAAAACCCAAAAAATGACAGCTGGCCTTATTGAATTTAATTTTATTATTAAATTACTTTGATTCCCCGTTGAGTGTTTTGAGCTTTTTTTATGACGTTTTTGGGTTGAGTTTGTTTTAAGAAATCAATGGCAGTTTTGTAATTTAAAACGAGTTAAAAGCCTTTTGTTATGTTGTAAATGAGCTTTGGGTGTATTTCTAAAGTCCATTTCATATAGGTTTTTTTTTATTTATAATTTGGGCTTCTATATTGGATATTATAGTGAATCTCCCATAATAATATTACTGAAAAATAGGTGCATAAAAGGTGAGGATGGACGCATTGCTGCTTGGGGGGTGTACTAAGAGAGTTCTAGGCAGTGGATTAGAGGCTTTGATGTTAATCTTGGGGTAGGACAACTCTTGGAAGCTAAGTTACAGGGCATCTATCTTAGACTGAAAATTGCTTGGGATATGGGTTGCAGTGTAGTTGTGCTTGAGTCTAACTCGGTGATTGCGATACAGCTGCTTAATAAAGATGTGGAAGACCTCCATCCTCTTGTTGCTATGTTGTGGGGATGCCAAGACTATATAGACATAAGCTGGGTTTGTTCTATTCATCACGTATATCGTGAATGCAATATGGTAGCACATAGATTAGCTGAATTGTGGGTTCATGTCTTGAGTTGGGTCTGCCAACCTTCCATGATCCTCCTGATAGTATTAGGTACTTTCTTAGTGAAGATTTAATTGGAGTCTGTAGGCCTCGAGCTATTGTTTAGTTTGTTAGATTTCCATATATGTGTTCATGATCTTTCACACAACTTGAAATACATAGACGATATACCTGACATAATCTTCCTTGAGTACACAATCTCAGAACTCATTTAGTTGTAGCAGCAGTAGCAGCAGCACGAGCAAGAGACACGAATGGCTTAAGACTTCTGCTCTCTTTCAGAAACTGTTTCAGTTCTATTTTTATGATGAGATTAGGATTAGAGAACACATCTGACGAGAGCAGGGTCTTAAGCTTATATAGGGTTAGGTCAAGTCGTCTCTACTCATCACCGAGGGCCGACTTGACTAACATTCTAAGCCCATCAAGCAACGGTTCACACAAAAGGAAATAACTTAGTATCTGGTGCACCAATCTAAACATGAATATAACATAGTTTCTCTGTTGGGCGTTAGCCGCGTTTATTCACCCAAAAAAAAAGAGAAAAACTAAGTTAGACATTTAATCTTATTCGTATTATTTGGTTATCAATCTGAGCCAAACCAAACTGCAACTCAGGGATGGTGATGGATTTAGAGTGACAATTTAGATCTAGAGAGAAGGTCTTCTCAGAAGATATTTTAAGTAATTCTTTCTGCCCAGTAAAATTATGAGGTATTATAAATTGGAGAAGAGCACAATGAATTGTCTTCTAATTCTTATGTTTTGAATTTAGATTTTATGATCTTAAAGGTTATTTTAATAATGATAATTTTTAACACTTTTTTCCCTTGGCTTTCATAATTATAAATAATTTTGCATTGATTTTTCTACCAAATCACTAATATCTAATTATTTTGTCATTATTTTTCAATATCTTATATGGTGGAATGTGATTAATTGAGGATCGCAAAACAGTGCTATTTGAATTGAGGATGACAAAACAGTGCTATTTGTGTGACACATTTTTATGCTTGTTGAGGGAAAAATGATGGGAAATTCACAATTATACGTAATACAGGAGCCCAAATAAAATTAAAAAATCTACATGAAATGGAGTTTAGAAACACACCTAAATCCCATATACAACACAAAAAAGAGGTTTCAAATTTCCTATAAATTACAAAATTGCCATTAATTTCTTAAAACAAGCCAAACCTCAAAACCTCATGGGCCCCCATTTGGTTCACGGAATGAATTTGAGGGGAAATAAGTTCTCGTGTCATTTCCCAAGGGATGGAGGAACACCAAACAACCAAACCATTTTTTTTATTTTAACAACAAGCGATATTAACTATTCTAATGTTTGGGGAGATGAATTCAACTTGGGTGCAAAGGGTCAGACACAGTACCTTGGTCAACTAGCGTAACTCATATATAACTATTCTAATGTTTGGGCATATGAATTCAATTCGGATGCAAAGAGTTAGACACAATACCCTGGTCAACTAGCGTAACCCATATATGCACCCCCAACAACCAAACCTGAATAAGTATTTAAGTGAATGTGAAATCCGAAGGTGCTTTGTGCGCCTCCTCCCCTTGAGGTTTAATTTGTTTTCATACAGAATTATAAGTTCCTTGACCTAGCCCCTCCAGAGGGTTTCTTTGCGGAAAATTAAAAGAAATTATATGTAGGACTGAGAAGTTAGACTAATTAATCATGATTTTTAATACACAAGAATGTGAGAGAACTGCGTTTTCACTTTGAACTAGCATTTGAAAGAGCAAACGACTGGAGCATGAGTTTTGAAATTAGGTTAGGTACCAACTCCATCAAAATTTGACTCGAGCACGAGTTGTAGGTTTAGCTCAAACCGTGTTCTCAACAAGTTACAAAAACCAAATTTACAACTCCGGCATACATGACAGATATATAATTTTTACACATATACATGAAACATAAATCGTATTCGATATTACATATTGAAAAGAAAAGTTTTAGAATTAGGATAGGTGAAAATTTGGATCCGTTCGTGATGGAACGGAAAAGCAACTTTAGTTGACAAAAAGAAGAAAGAAAGTTACAATTAAGGGTGGACTTAGAGATTTTCTGGTGGCTGGGTTATATAAACTTTTTCCTACTTGTTATGTGTGGCTGACTGACTGACTGATTTTATCTTGGAAGGTGTTAGAGTGTAGCAATTTTCATTAAATGGGGTGAATTTCATAAAAATTAGCACCAAAAAATCTGTTTAACTGGATTGGAATTCATGTGTACAAGCTGTACCACGTGATTGTACTACCGTACTATTTTATCATTTCTCACTGATCTGGGGATGCTTAGTAGAAAAGGAAGGGTGAAATATAAATTTGCTCCCCATGTTTTGCTCCGTTGTTTTTTAATTTGACTAATTCCATCATCGTGTATACCAATGACTTCTGAAAGGAATCTATGTCTTTCTGAGACTAAGAAGGGTTTGTGTGACTGGCTAAAGTAAAGTTATATATGTTTCTCCAACGTCAACATGTTGTCGCCAAGTTGACAAACAAAACTACTCTGTGTTTCTTCTTGTACTTACTTTTCATGTTGGGCAGGTCAATTTTTATTTGTAGCTAGAGCAACATTCGAAGAAACCTCCTTAGTTATTGACCAACACCTTACACAAAAAGGAAACCTAATAATATCTTACCCATAAGAGTGTTGAGAGTGTTTGTTTCACATCGAAAAATTAAGGGACTTAGCATGGGTTTATAAGGAGTTTGGCTACTTCCCCAATTGCCAATTGATTTTGGAGTGGAACCTTGACTTCCTTCATAGTATCAGAATAAGGCTTCACGTGTTGAGTCCAATGGCCACATCAAACTTTAACGTACGATCTCATGCATGTGTGTGCTTTCTTCAACGAGTTGCACAAAAATTCTATCAAATCCATTCTCTTCAAAGAGAGGCTTTTGACATAATTGGTTAAAATGGAGAGTCAAGGTTACGTTAAAGTTTCAAAGCAAGACAATTTGATTTGTTAAACTGGACTTTCATTTCAAACCAAATCTGATGCTGTTCAAATATAAATGTCTACGCTAACCAATTATTCAATAGAACGCACACGTGCGATGTGCATATAAACTTTTTTGACCATATATTTCATAAAAAGAAATAAGACATTGAAGTTTGATAAATCATTTCCTTACTGACGATTTAAGAAAAAAAACTAACCCGAACCCAAGAACGAAATTTCTTTGCATACAACGATAGTCACATCACATGGTTATAGGTATTGCAGGACTGCAAACTATTGTGCGTATCTGCTGCACCACATGGTATGCCGTTCTATGTGGCAACGTTTCACTCATGTTATTACGTGTATATGTACTTAATGTTGAAGAATATAAGTTCTACATCGGATGATTGACTAAATAAATACAACTTATAATAAGTGGTTCCACTTTTAATAGCACCGAAGTTTTTTGTGATAAAACCTAACACCTTTTGAACTTTGTAGGCGGTTAAGTTAAAAACAATATATTCGTGAGAACAGTTGAAAAGATGAAGTATGTATCAGAACATATTGACATTATCAACAGCTGATGAATTGGAGAGAGTGAAAGAAAAAGACTTGCAAGTATCCCAAATCTTATACACATGTAACTGGATTATAGCTGGAAAATATGTGTTCATTTGAGTTAAACGTATGGACAACAATGAAAGTCTTCCTTTTCTTTTATAATGGCCAATTGAATTTGAACCGAAACACTTTTGGTCAGTACTGAAAGAAACAAGACATTAATATATTCTAGGTTTTGCTGAGTGTTCATAGCAACCTGGCCAAGTCATGTAATTAATTTTAGGTTTTTCTGTTGAATTGTTCTATCCACTCTGCAGAACTTAGCTGTAACCCAGTAACCAAAACCTAGTCTCAGTTGAATTTATAGTCGTTATATAAATTGTACACGCCAAACGGTTGAGGGTCCAAATTCCGCATCATTCTTAGTCTTTAATTATAATTTGGTTGATCAGTTTGACGATTTTAATTTGTAAGAAACATTCCACAATGACTATATATATATATATATAAGAAGAAGACCTTATATGAATATAATATCTCTCCTGTTTTAGTCATACTATGGTTCAACGGCAAAACAACCTAATTGAAAGATGACATGTAAGAAATATAAGATTGTCATAAAATTTAAACACATCATTTTCCAATTAGAGTATATTGTCACTTAGTATTATCACATGCTAGGAATATCCCGAAGCATCAATAAATGGGGTTCTAAAATCAGTGAACAAGAATTCAAGTATTTAGAGGATATGAAATTCTTACCTAAATGGCTGATGTTGATCACCAAAAACCTTTGTAGCAAATCCAACTACCCGTTGTGGGGACTGGAGCAATTGCAAGATCTCTGCCCAAGGTAAATTTTTTCCATAATCAGGATTTGTGGCACAGTAACCCAGTGGTAAACTAGCTGATCTAACACCCTTCAACTTCTGCTCCATTGGAAGATCAAAAAGCCCATTTAAGCTCCCTATGAAACTCTCTATGGTCTCCAGAGCAAACCCCTTGACACTTAGCTTGTGCCCCATGGAGGAAAGTGACTCAACATATTGGTCTTCAATTTGTAGAGCCATGCCAAGTCTCAAGGATTAGGGTTTGTAATTTCCTTAGCTCAATTCAGTATTAATTTGAATCAGAAACTTCATGTATATAAATGATTCATTTTGTATAGCCATATAGTGTGCTTTGTTAAGTGTGATAAAATTCAAGTTGGTTGTAGTTTTCAAGGAGATTCAATGTTGGCTTATAGAATCATTGTTGCCTAGGATTTATAACGAGGTTGTCTTTTAGTGGAAAAAACATGAGATTCTATTGGAGATAACTAAGATTCCAACAAAACAAAGTTGAGAGAAAATGGAATATGTGAGCCGCCCAATTGGGCAATGGAATTTAAATTGCGAGCCATTGTTTAACCACTAACAACAGAGCCGTGTGAGGCAAACAATGAATGCATCATATGATGTCCTTTGCGCCAACGGGCCAACTAACAAAGGAAAATATTCTGAACCTGATTTTTATAAAAGTTTTTCTCACTAACTTGATTTGTTTTTGTTACGTAGAAATGGATCAAGCACTTGATCTATTTTAGTCATAACTCATGACTCTACCCTTCTCATTAGATGGTATCAGTAGAATTCCCATACCACATGGATGCAAGGATAAAGCCTAACGAGTTAATTTATCTATGAATCACTTTATTAGCCTTTTGAAAGACAAAAGCAATCGTAGTACTAATCAACTGGAACAAAAGTATATCTCACTCTACACTTGTTAAACTAAACAAATTACTGCACTTTAAATTAATTTAAGGTTTAAATTTAGGACTTTTTTTTTCACCGGGAAAATTAACATGGCAGTACTGCCTTGACCAATTTGTTACAAATCTACTTCTCTTCAGCTTGGCATCTTGGTGTGACTTTCTTAAAGTTTTTGCTCTCTTTCTTCATTTTTCACACTTTTAAGTGCAATAATAATATTACTAGAAAAAAGGTTCAGAAAAGGTGAGGATGGACGCATTACTGTTGGGGTGTACTAAGAGATAGTTATGGGCAGTGGATTAGAGGCTTTGCTGTTAGTCTTGGGGTCGGACAAGCCTTGGAAGCAGAGTTATGGGGCATCTATCTCGGATTGAAAATTGCTCGGGATATGAGTTGCAATGCAGTTGTGCTTGAGTCTAACTCAGCGATTGTGGCACAAATGCTTAATAAAGATGTGGAAGAACTTGCTGCTATGTTGTGGGGATGCCAAGACTATATAGACAGAAGCTGGGTTTGTTCTATATATTCATCATGTATATCATGAATGCAATATGGTGGCAGATAGATTAGCTTAATCGGGTTCATGTTTTGAGTTGGGTTTGTCAACCTTCTATGATCCTCTTGATAATATTAGGTATGTTCTTCTCAGTAAAGATTTACTTGGAGTCTGTAGGCCTCAAGCTATTGTCTAGTTTCTCTATTGGGCATTAGCCTCGTTTCTTCACCAAAAAAAAAAAAAAAAAAAAAAAAAAACTAGAGACATTTTGGTGGCGTTTGAGTTTGCTTAAATTTTTAAAAAAGCAGCTTTTGTAAAAAGTTATGGTAGCTTGAGTGTTTGGTAAACATGAGGAATTGGGCTTTTAAAAAAGTTGCTGTCAATGACCCTTGTTTTTTAAAATCCCTCACAACCCAGCTTTTAAAAGCTGCTTAAAAAAAAATTGAGATTTTCTATTTAAACTCTGCACTTCTCTTTGTTCACCCCATGTTCTAACTTTCCAACTTCTAATTTAAGTTTTCACAATTTCTAAGACAACCTCATTATCTTCCCAAACTACCCATAAATACACATCCAGCAGAAAAAATAAAAAAATAAAAGAGTTTTTCTATTAAAACCCCACACTTTTCTTTGTTCACTCCAATACTTAAATCATTAAACTCTTAAGTTTTATTAGTGTATAAAAATAAAATAAAAAACATATATTGTCATGAGACGATGGTGAAGAGGGAGAAGTGGTGAAGCATGATCATGAAAATGAATGTGAACAAGAGCTGGAAATGTAGAAGGATGATTATGATATCCCAATTACTCGGGCAATGGTTTATTTTTTGGGGTGTGGTTGGTCTTTATTTATAGGAGATGCTGGTTTTAATTAATTAAATTACAATATTAATAATATGTATTTAACCTGATCATCGAGAATTAATTTAATAGGCATGTGATCGGTGCATATTTACATATCATTTTGTACCCTTCTAACTTATAATTTGATTATGTTTTTGAGTTAAACTTGTGCTTTTAATTTCTTTCGTGTTTGCTTCAGTGTATCAAGCTTTGAGACTCATTTAATGCATTTTGGAGTCAAGTCAGCTCAAAACTGTGTCTGCGGATCAGTCAACTTCACGGATTGTACTATACTTGCTCAGGACGAACCAGATAATGAGCCATACATCATTGGAAAGATACAGAAGTCTAGTTTCTGGAACATTTTACGGTTCATGATTCCAAATCTTCTAGAGGAAGTTATGCAAGTTTTGGCAGCTTAAGGTCAAATTCGGTGGCATCTGCATTACTGAGCCAAAACTGACATTTGAAGGCCTTTCTGATTTTTCCTTGAGCTGGGCTGAATATGCTTGGAAATATAAGACAAAGAGCTTCAAGTTTCATATTTTTCCAGATTTTTCAGAATGAAAGAACAAGCCCAAACGAGCCCACAAGCTGACTGCAATGCATTGTCATGCATGACATATGCATGAGCTAATTATTTTTTATGGGGAAGTTAGGTAAAGTTGGTGAATTGAGAGCATACACAATGGGAGGGTGTATATGGAGGTGTATGTTAAATATACACCCCTTGTCACCAGAATCGTCTCCAATAGGGAGATGTAAAGGGATGTAAATATACATCACCACTATGGAGATGTAAAATAAAATGTACATTTACATCTATTTTTACATCTTTTGCAGGCGGGACCCACCAGAGAAAAGAGAGGAAAAATTATACATCTTAGATTTACATCCTTTCCCATTAGAGCAAAAAACGTATTTACACCCCCCCGGAGGTGTAAAGGGGATGTAAAAGTGGCTTTACACCCTCGAAAATACACCCCCCCCCCAACTATGGATGCTCTGAGTGTTGTACGTAGAAGCAATACTCAATTCAGAATTTCACTTCCCTTAGCAGCAAAGTTGGCGAGTTGGGGGGGGGGGGGGGGGGGGGTGGGTGGGGTAAAGCCACTTTTACATCCCCTTTACACATCTAGGGGGTGTAAATACATTTTTTGCTCCAATGGGAAACGATGTAAATTCAAAGATGCATATTCGATTTGTTTGTGATAGTTCTTTTGTGTGTGTGTGTGTTTTTTTTTGTATGTTTTAACTTTTTAAAATTAATTTTTTGTGTGTTAGATTTATTTTATTTTTCCAAATAAGTGGACCTAAAAAAATTTAAATTTGGAGAACATATGACTTTACCTACACACTAACATAAAAATATCTATGTAGAAATCTGGGCCATTGGAAATGCAATGCAAATTGCATGAAATCTAGGCCTTCCATTTTGAATTCCAATCCTTCTCTTTCCCTTTTTCTCTTGTGGGTCCCGCCTGCAAAGGATGTAAAAAAAGATGCAAATGTGTATCTAATTTTACATCTCCATGGTGGGGGTGTATTTTTACAACCATTTACATCTTCCCATTGGAGATAATTCTGGCGACAAATGGTGTATATTTAACATATGCCCCCTTATACACCCTCCCATTGTGGATGCTCTTAGGCCTATAAATAGTGAGGTTTCCCAAGCTTGAAAACACACCTGAAGTGGGGGAGCTCTCAAACACTTTTCTAGAGCTCCCCTCCCTTCTCTCCCTCAAATTCTCTTAGTTTTCCTTTCTAGTTCTCAATTGTTTAACAAAATTCTTTTACTAAATTTTCCTTCAAGTTTTTGAGTTCTAATTTAATTTTAATGTAATTTCTTAGTTTTCAAGTTTGATTAGTTTCCAAGTTTCAATTATGGTTTTTGTTCTTATTCATTATACTTATAAGTTAATATGCTAGTTTGAATGATTGATCACCATTAAGGCTTGCATGTAGCTATCTTGGTTTGAATTAAGAGTAGACACGATGCTTTAATTCGAATTGAACTATGAATAGGAAGAGTGTGTATAGAATTCGACAATCGAGATTAGATACATACTTGGTTGTTTAAAATGTTCTTCTATGCTTAATGGATTCATAATACTTAATTTTATGTTAGACAACAAATGATCAAATTAGGGAATTAGGAATACAAGGTTAGGGCCAGACATCATGACTTAATCATACTTTAGCTAGAATCAACCTGTTAATCTAAATTGAACTTGGGAACTTATTTGCTTGAGTTAGTTATTTTCTTTCTTTCTTGTTGTCAATCCTTGTACTTTCACAATCATATTAAATCTTGTTTCTATTTTTGTTTTGTACAGGGAATCGAATTGAACCAATCTATCATCAATCATCGTGGGATCGACCTCGCACTTACATATGCTATACTATCAAACGGCTCGTGCACTATCGAGTATCACAAGTTGAGGATGCAGCTAAATCAATTTTGGTACAACTGATCCGTCGACAACAACATGCATGTTCCCCTCTCGATTTTATTTTGATGCTCATAGAGCTAGAGTAAGTCAAAGGCAGACATGCTTTTTGAATGATTGATTTCTTGTACAATAAGACTAGTCAAACTCTAAAGACTACTTTTCTAGTTTTATTGACTGTCTCCTAAATGTTCTACTTCTTTAAAGAACTCAGACAATTTCAACTATTGAACCTTAGACATTTCCAATTGAAGGGGAAGGAAGGAATATCCAAAAAAGGAAAAGAAAAACAAGTGGAGTGAGACCTTGGTCAAACTAAAGGAGGAACGAATAATTGTAGATGGCATGATCCAAACATTTAGAGGGGCAAAGTGGGTTCGCTGGGAATAATCTATTGTGATTGCTCAAGGAAGAAATTAATTATTGTGAAGGATACACCGCATTGGGATTGCTCTATTTCTCATGTGTTTTCTGGGTTTGTATTTATTTGTGGGTTGAGAGGGAGAGATAAGAATTACTTCAGATGAAAACTTACATGTAATTCGGCCAATAACACAATGACACGTGGAAAAGTTATTCTACGTGTCATTGCGTTATAAACCGGGAATAGCAAAAATTTTAGGGAGAGATTGGCTACTCTCACTACTATCGCCAGGGCAAACCCACAACCTCGAGCCAGAAGGACTTACGCGTGACACCCAACTGCCAGCTACTACTAGTATGGATTTATATAGAAAATTACAGATCACTCACCAACGAGGACTGCTGGCAGCAGTTCTCTAATATTGATAAGGCTACATACAGTACATGGACCTTACCAACTAAACCAACCCTCATTGGCAAAGGAGCCGTCACACTTAAACCCAACTTAAAAGCCCCTCATTATAGCCGCGCCGATTGCGGAAGATGCTTGTTTGGGCCTCTCTTGTTACCTTTGGCCTGCCTATGATAGACAAAGATGCCTGATAGGATTTTTAGTACCTGCACAAATAGGGTTAAAATCACATAAAATACTTGCAAGAATACAAGGCTATTGTAGTATAGATGCTCATGCAAGGTCGTTCTCCTCAAGGACTGTTTAGCAATTTATGTAAAAACAATTTCCAATTAACTACCTAAACTTAAAAGTTGAGAAAGATGTTTATGAAATTGTTTGATACTAAAAACAAATTTTCAACAAAAACAAATACGATTGAAGGAAAGAGTTTTAAATACCAATTTATAAAAGCACTAGCGTTTCACCATCACCTAGCAATCCTATAAATTTTTACCAATTACTTATAATTTGCACATGCAACTTTGAAGGTTAGGTTTTCCTAATTTATATTCTACTTGGAACCTCCAACATAGAACGTAAATCCAACATGCAACCATCCGGACGTTTGGATCAAATCTGAACATGAAAGACTCATTATGTTTTGTGAAAACCCTTTGAAAAACCATACAACCCTTAAGACGTGGTGTTCATATTAAGTGAAATTACAATTATTAATCACAAGAAGCCAACGTCAATTTCAAGGAACCTTCCGACCAAAATTGCATCCAATTACTTTTCTAAAGATCCTAATGGTGATAAGGCATTAAGACAATTAGATAGTTTAAAACAGTGATTAACAATTCAAAGTATGCATGCACTCAATCATAAGCAATTAAATAAAAATTACATATTCATGCTAAGGTTCAAGGCGTCACCCTAGCAAAAGAAAATTAGTTACGCATATTCATAATTGAAATCCAAGAAAATATCAAACAAGCTGCCACCTCCAGCTTTTCTATCCCCACAAGGAAACTAATTAAAATAAAATAATACTATGATATAAAGTCCAAATTGTACTAGGAGAATCTGTATTTAAACTGCCCAGCCACGTTTTGGCATCAAATCTCCTCCAAATCAGGCCTAAGATAGCTTGTTTTAAAGATAAAAACATTTTGAACACTTCTCCAGAAGGCCACGAACCCATCCGAGGTCATTTAGGGCTCCAAAACGCAATAAAAGGGCAAAACGTCACTATTCCAGCACTGCGCACTGCTCCTTTATTTTATTGCCAGAGGTTGGTAGAAAAATCTGAAATTTCGATACGATCAAGCTAAGTGACTCATGAACGTCCTCCAACTGTAATTACTTCAAAATTCGTCCATTTAATTATATTTTGCTCTAGAGGAAGTCGACAGTCCTATATTGGAAAAATAATTCAAAGTATCAAAATTCTTCCAAAATATTAACCAAACTATACTAAGAATGGGATTAAATATATAATATAAAAGATACCCCTCAAGATACCCCCAAACTTAACTCTTTGCTTGTCCTCAAGCAAAGCAAATCTAGAAAACAAATTCAAGTTGCAATCCATAGAAAATGTTAAAAACCAAAACGTCTTTTCAAAAGTTCCAACCAATCTCACTACAGAGTCTAAGCCATTTAAAGTCAATTAGAAAAGAATTCACAAACTTCCTTTGGTGTAAAGTGAACCATCATAATTAAGGAGACTTGACCAAAACCCTTACCTCTCATCCCTTTTATTCACACTTCACATACTAACTTCATACATTATTATTATTATTATTATTATTATTATTATTTTCTTGGTTGTGCAATATCGGTTCACTTAAGCTTTCAATCCAACCCATGTAGTGAGCTTTAGGTCAATGACTCACAAACCACTAAGGCTTTAGGGCATTAGGTGTAGAACACCCCTAAGGACTTATTAACTCGAGCTGAGAAGGCTACAAAACCAACTAACCACTCTACCTCATGCCAAAACTCTACCATTTGACTTAAGAATCACTGCTGATTAGGCAGGACTAGCCCGGTTATACTAGCAAAGCTTCGGGTGAGGCAATTATTACTTTATAACACATACTAACTTTATATATATTTTTTGAACAAAAATTAAAACACACTGAGACAAAAAGTAAGGGCCCATTCGGTAATGTTTTTAGAGCCTGTTTTCTGTTTTTGTTTCCTGTTTTTCACAAATACACGTTCGGTGCATCGTTTTCGTTTTCCCTCACAAAACGTTTTCTGAAAACAAATCTGACTTTGTGAACAAAAGTTGAAAATGAAAAAAAGTTGTTTTCAGTGTTTTCTGAAGACACAAGAATGCATCCCATCAACAACTCTAGCTCTTTCTCTTGACAACTGATAAACCCACCAACAGGAACAACACCCATCTTCTCCGACCCAAAATAACACAAATCTAAGAACTAAGAAAAAAAATACAGAGGAAGAAGAAAAGAAAAGAAAAACAGGGACAGGAAGAAGAACCACCGCATACCCAGCTCAACCACCATAATCACCCAATCAAGCCACCACAACCATTAATTAGTGGAATGAGAGAGAGATGGGTGGGTGTATGGGATTCATGTCACGGAAGGAAGGAAGAGTGGGTGCAGCCTGGGAAGGAAAGGAAGAAGAAAAGAGGAAGAAAGAAGGAAACATGAAGAAAAAGAGAAACAAACTTGCGAAGCAAAAGAAGAAGAAAAGAGGAGGAAAGAGAGAAAAGGAGAAAAAGAAGACAAAAAGAAAGAAAAAAGAAAGGAGATAAGATAGTTTTTGTGCTTTAATTTTTTTTCATTGTTTATAATAATTTTAGCCTATAAAAATATCATAATTAAAAAAAAATTAGAACTGAAATTAGCAAAAATAAACCTGAAAAACAATTGTACTACCAGACACATTTTCATTGTTTTTGTTTTCTAAAGATGTTTTCTAATTAATTTACCAGACGCATTTTCATTTCCTGAAAATGCAAATTTGTTTTCTTGTTTTCATTATCTGAAAATACTCTTAGAAAACATTCTCCAAAAACGTTACCAGACGGGCCCCAAGTATTTCAATCTCACTCCCCACAAACCATGTTGGTGTGATGTGCAAATTTCAAAGTATAATTAATAAATTAGTGTCTAAGCAACAATAAATAGAAAAGACTCTACTGTGGGCTTGATCTTCATCATGTTCATTTGTTCTAACGTTTAAAATAATCTATGGATATTAACTTAAAAACAAAATTTTTAGACCAGACTCAAAACATTAAAAAAAAAACTAAAATTTACTCTCCCACCCCCGAACTTAAATCACACATTATCCTCAAGGTGTGAAAAAGAAAATAAATAAGTTAATAAAAATAGTAAAGCCTAAAAGAAAACATGAAAAAAAAAATGCGAGTAAAAATAAAGGACAAGACCTAAGAAAAATTAAAATAAGAAAAGAAGGAAAAGAACACACCCGGATAGCGCGTAAGGTAATTCAATTGACTCCTCTCGGAAGAAATTGGCACATCAGCCCACTTGCATGAATTGTTGAAATTGCTGTCTTCTTCCTTGTTTTTATATTTTTATATATTATATTTTTATATTTTTAATTTTCTTTTTTATCAATTCAACATGAGTGGACGCTAGCTATTGGATGGGTGAGTGACTAATTTTCGCTCCCAATTTCAAAGTAAAGGAGCAATGCAGCACGGTCCATGTGAATTTGCGCCTCCAGCCCAGAGCCATGCTCCATTCACACCTCAGAACCCATGCTACCTGCGACAATCAAAGCGATCCATCCCATCTAAATATTATTGAATATTTTGGCGCACAAACCCATCTGACCACTGAGCAAAAACCATCTATCTTATTTGCAGAAACAATAATAGTATTGCTTTTAGAAACCCACGCCTCTCTGTTGCTTTCAAAAACTCAATAGCTTTCTCTTCTCCTTCTCGAAAATCCTCTCTTCTTTGCTCATTTTCCCCAAAACTCAAGGCCAACCTCTCTCTCTTCTGTCAAAACCATTCACACCTGCTCAAATATTTCTTCTGTGCACCAACAGCTCTTCTTTATTTTGCGCACACTCGAACCTGCTCTCATTAGTCATTTCTCTCAGACCCCATACGCCTCTCTCTATTCATTTTCCTAAAAACCGCACAATCTGCTTGCAGTTCAAAACCGTGTGGGCCAAAGAAGATGATATCATTAGCTAGGGACCTGAAAGTGAAAGACGAACCGTGTGGGCCACCTGGAAAGAGCTTTTCCACCACACTGCGATTTTCCAAGAAGCTCTCTCATTTTCTTTATTCCATTATTGCCTTTACTAAAACCTTTTCTCCACTAATCCCATAACACTATAGCATCTTCTTCTCATTGTTTTCAGTTTGGGCGGGATGGAAATCAGATAATTAAAGAAAGAAAACAGAGGATTCATCTTGGAAAGTTCCTTTCTTTTTCTATGTAAATTCCTCCGTTTTCTCAGTAACCAAACAGAGGTATTTATGTCTCAAAGAAAAGCACTTGCTTATTAGCTATGGAAATTGAGAGAGCCACAACTGGTTTCCTGGTTTGCAAATACTCGTCGTGGAGATCAGTCTTCTTCTGAGCCATCTTTAACACCTAGTAGTAATCTTTATAGACCCTCCTTGAGTTTCAGGGATGAGGGCTGCTTCAGAATCAGAAGAGTGGATATTTTTAGCCACTAACCTTGGCCTAGAGATGTTGTCAGCTGCTTGTGATCAGGCTTCCTCCCCAAGAAGACCCCACTTTGCACTATTTGGTATGTTGTTGGCTATTGCAGCTGTGCTCATTTCCATCGGGGAGCTAATTTACAAAGGTAAAAAGGAAAGAGTCGTGTTCAGGAGTTGGGGAATGCTCGGGTGGTTTTATCATCCACCACCTCCTCTATATAAGCCTTTTGGTACTCTTCCTGACATTTTTGGACTAGTTGCTGGCATCTCACAGTGCATTTGCTCTATGGTTCAGTATGTTTACTGCCTTCGGCATGCTGATAATCCTTTCAAAGTATCCCTTTTGCCTGCCATATTTCTTGTGTGTTTAGGTGCTTCAAAACTAATTAACAACCGAATGAACGCCGATACCACTGATAACAAGGACTCCAGGGAAAATTCTTCAAGGTAAACACGAATTAAACTGCTCATCTGCTTCTTAATTAATTTGCATATTAAAATCTTTTTGCAGCTTTTTAGTCTGAGATAATACAAAAGGAAGGCTTCTTCTTTATTTATTTATTTAGTTTTGGAAGGAGACGAGATGGAAATTTTAAGAAATAATTAAGGGGGATTTTAATGGATATCATATCACATGAGAATTCTACTTTATTTCAATTAGCACAAAATGGAAAGACTAAAGTGTGAGCGGATGGAGAGAGAGTGGCTAATTAAGGTAGCTCTCTATCTCTAATAAACAAGACAGTCGTAAAAGATTGCTTTATTTTCTCTGTTTGCTTTTTCATCTGTATGCATGGCTTCCATTCCACTGATAGAAAATATTCTCTCAATCTGTTGGTTTGTAGCACGGTAGAAACTTTGTGGCATGCAATCCCGTCTCGTGATGATCAGGAGGTAGGTACCAATTTAATTACGATTTAAAGTAAATTATTTCCAAAACAATATATATATATATATATATATATACACACACGCGCACATATATAACCTTGAAATATTAATTTAAAAGTTGTCATTCGTATATATATCATGCGAATAACTGAATAAAATAAAGGAAATCATGTTTCCATATTTCTCTGTATAATAAAATGAAATTTACCCTTTTATTTATTCATCGTATTTGTATGCATATCATATACATATCTTTTATTTCGGGAGGACATGATGTATCCAAAAGGCTTAAGTTAGGAAGTCCCATATGAAGGCCAAACTGATGAAGATGATGAAGTCTAATATGTATCACGGAATGTCAATTTGGAGCTCACTTTGGGAAGGCCACATTCGGATTGAATACAATAAAGAAAAATTAGGTATTAGACATAACAACTAATTAGGATTTGAGACAGAGTATTTCTGTTTGGGTTTTAATATCTAGGAATGAAATTTTGTTTTGAATTAGGCCAAAGAGAAGGCTCATATGTGAAATAATTTGTTTTAAAAAAAAACCATTGACTGTTAATATAAATATTGCGTAACTGACAAAATACCACAAAAACAAGGTTGGTGAAGTGGTTTGTGAATGAGGCTTTCCTTCTTTAAGGGTCAAGATTTGAGTCTCTTCATGCACACTAAATTTCTCGCATTTTTAGGTTGAGGGCAACATAGAGCAGGAGCGGCAGCAGGGGTTGCAGCGGGAGCAGCAGCAGGAGCTGCAGCGGGGGCCGGAGCAGGGGCAGCAGCAGGAGCAGCAGCAGGGGCAGCAGCAGGAGCTGCAGCAGGGGCAGCAGCAGGAGCTGCAGCAGGGGCAGCAGCAGTGGCCGGAGGAGATTCTGCTGCTGCTGCAGCAGGAGCTGCAGCAACAGCAGCAGCAGCTGCAGCGGCAGCAGCAGGAGCTGCAGCAGCAGCAGCAGCGGCAGCAGCAGGAGCTGCAGCAGCGGCAGCAGCGGCAGCAGCAGGAGCTGCTGCAGCGGCAGCAGCGGCAGCAGCAGGAGCTGCAGCAGCCGCAGCGGCAGCAGCAGGAGCTGCAGCAGCTCCAGCTGCAGCAGCAGGGGCTGCTGCAACAGCAGGAGCTGCTGCGGCAGCAGCAGCAGCGGCAGCAGCAGCAGCAGGAGCTGCTGCAGCAGCAGCAGCAGCAGCGGCAGCAGCTGCTGCAGCGGCTGCAGCGGCTGCAGCAGCAGCAGCGACTACAGCAGCAGCAGCGGCAGCAGCTGCAGCGGCTGCAGCAGCAGCAGCGGCAGCGGCTGCAGGGGCAAGAGCAGCCGCGCCCACAACAGTTGCGGCAGCGGCGAGTAATGAAGACGGATTGACGGAGATGGACATGTGGCATGACTTCGAAGTAGTGGCATTGTGTGTAATTTTGATATTTTTAAATTACATTATTGTGTCTTAAAATGAAAGCTTCCTATTATTAATTGAATCTATTAATTACTTTTAATTCATTATTATATTATGTCTCTGAACGGATGGGTGCTCTTTTGGGATCTGGATCCTCTACTCCTGGGGATGAGAGTCAGGTACCTACCTAGAAAATCAGAAGATGTGTCAGATATGGAGAACAAAAGTAAAGCAGATCATAACAAATAAATCAGAGTAGAGGATCTAAATCCCATGGCAAAGAAAATCAAAGTAGAGGATATGGATCTTGGGGATGAGAATCATGTACCTACATAATAAATTAGAAGAAAAACAGGATTCAGATCCTTTGCTTTGATTTTCTCTACTATGATCTACTTGACTTTCACTCCTCATAAGCCACGTCATTTAAATTTCAATCCAAAGAATTTAAAGTTGACACATCACTTTTAAAAAACAAAATAGATTTCCTAATTAAAACATGAAATTTGTGTAAGTATTGTCAGAGATAAGAACTACATTTGTCACATAGTGGCATGTAATGAAGAAATTGATGTGGAACGTGACAAATTTTAATATTTCCAAAAGGGTTTAAAAAATGGAAACATTTAAAAGATTGAGACTAAGTGTTGAGGCCCAAGAAATCTACAGTTGGGCCCGAATATATTTCCGGCCCAATGCGATACCTTGCCGATAAGAAACCCGATTTGGGCATGCGAAAATTCGTCATGCATGCTTGCATGAGCCACGACCACGTGCCATACCAAATAAATATGCAATCCGCCACACTATAGCCTATAAAATGCACTGGCTCTACGAACCTAAGCTAATTATCCAATCAAGCATTATATCCCTTTTCAAGGACGATAAAATTAAAGCACGCCGATTGTCATGCCATGCCAAGCTGGAAATTATTATTTCACACCCAACCACGCTACAAGCTTAAGTGGGCCCAAGCCACGTAATTACCTGGGGCTTGCTTGAGTGAGTTGTGGTATGAATGGTAACAAGCTTTCACGAGGCCCATTGATGAGCCGAGAAATGGAAGTTTTGGATTGCTTGGGAGCCCTAAAACTCAAGCCCATTTCTCGAGCCCAAATATATGGGTAAGCATAAAGGAGAGAAAAAATCTCAATACTCTAGAAGAGATGACCAAATATCTTAGGAAAAGCCCAGACCAGTACCTAATAAAATATCTAGCATTGTGTTCAACCCTTGCCAAAGCTTCATAGCAGAGTCAACATGAAGCCATCGCAAAACCAAAGGGAATTCGTAAGTTTAGGAGGAATACCCATTAGGCAAAAGCTGTATCCATTCTTCTTTCCTCTGCGAGCTCTAATAGGGAAACCAAGAAGAAAAGCAGGTGGCGCCTTATCCCCATGGGAAGGTCCAACCTCACAAAAACCTTGGAACCCCAAAGAGCCTATGACCCATCCGCTCTGGTTAAAGAAATTTCACCAAAAAGGATTGAATGGAAAGAAGCAAAGGAAAAGTGGGAATGAAGGATTGATAGAATTAGGGTTCTAAGTGCCTATAAAAGAGAGCTCCCTCTACCCAGCAAAAACCATCATCTAGAGTGCGACCAAGCTTTGTTCAGCAACTAGAAATTTACTCAAACCACACCCACTACTTCACCACTAGCTATAACAAACATTCAGAGAGCAAGCTTCACCTCTCATATCTGAAACCTCTGCAATTTTGTGCCCTATTCCTCCATCTCCTTCCCTTTTCTCTTCTGTTAAAAAGTTCCAGAGCTTGACAGATTTTTTTGTCAAGCTGCCGGAAACTACTCAACACACCCATCATACCCTCATCTCTCTACCTCTTCAACAAACCCTCTTAGAATCCATTCTCCCTTGTCTTAAAACCCCTGTTTCTCATAGGAATTCACAGCTTTCCCTCTGTTTATGCTAAACTCATGATGGTTTTGCTCCCATGCCACAAACTTCTCATGCCAAGCTAAGAATCTACCTATAAGCGATTATTAGTTTTGCTGGTGAAGGTAACCAATGTGCTTCCTAAGGCTCAGCTACCATTTCGAAGCATTCTCGGAGCCTAATTCTTGAATTCATACACATGGGGTAATTTCACATGTTTCTCTTTTCGGCAGCCCAAGCCCATTCGTCAGGCTGTTGAAATAAAAAGACCCTTACACTAAGCTAAAATAAGCATAATTTATGGGTTTTATGATCCATAATCTATCATAAATGTTTTTTCATCAGTTGCTTTTATTATCTTCTTACCAATCAAACAAAAGAAGGGTTAAATATTTGAAAGTTCCTTAATGCCCTTGAGAAATAAATGTACTAAAAGATAGGCTAAATTGTAGCAATGGTCCCTGGACTAAGCCCCAACTTTACTTTTCGTCCTTTACATTGTTAAACTGTTACAGTGGTACTTTAATTAGATCTCATATTGCATAATTGGTCTTTCCATCAATTTTGTTAAATTTTATGTCAAAATTAAGGGCAACTTGAGAAATTCATAATTTTTTTTTCTCTCTCTCCCACCCCCCACTTCCCCCAACCCCAACACCCATGAATTGGGGAATTGAAACAGATAAATTGGGTAGAAATGCTTGTTTCATTGAAGGGGGAATAGTAAGAGTATTGGTATAAGAGGTACGGAAAATTGGGCTTCTTTATGGCTGGACCCTTTCTCATTCTCATTGGAAAATTGGGACGGACCCTTCTTTGTGGCTTCATTCAAATGGGAGTTTTGGGTGGATTTCTTCTCAAGGCTTCCGCTGTTGGAGGAGCTGGCGTTGGATGTGTGCAAGAACGTGTGAGAGTGGGTTGGCGCTGGAAGTGCTTGTGTCGAAGTGTCCCAGGTTGAGGGCGCTCAAGCTTGAGCAGTTTCATGGGATTTGCTTTGCGATTGGGTCTGAGCTAGATGGCATTGCATTGTGTTCAGGGCAGGAGTCATTGTGGATCAAGAACTCGGCTGATTTGACGGATATGGGGTTGATTGAGATCACTAGAGGGTGCTGCAAATCACTTCCCCTGATGATTTCTTCTTCCCCCAACCCCAGCACCCATGAACCCAGAACCCTCTACCCTAGCCCGGAACTGGAGAGAGAGAGAGAGAGAGAGAGAGAGAGAGAGAGAGAGAGAGAGAGATTTGATTTATTTTTATAATTTTTTGTGTGAAAAAACATTTTTGTCCATACCAAGTAGGAGTTGTCATTGCCATGTCATCATTTTTAACAGAAAAGTTGACAAAGATGACGGAAAGAATGATTTCTAAAACTGGAGGCATAATTAAAGTACCACAGTAACAATTTAACAATGTAAGGGACGAAAAGTAAAGTTGGGGCTTAGTCCATGGACCATTGCTACAATTTAGCCCTAAAAGATATGATTCTTCAATATACGAGGGCAAAATAGTAAATGTCAAATATTGAAATAAAATTTGAAGGACGAGTATATTCACCTACCAAATACAAGATAGAATAATCAACATTTTAATTAGTCAATTATTTCATAATCAACAGTTCAATCAATTATGTCAGAATCTTCCGTTCCACATGGAAATAGCTTTTTTTGCCACAGATAACAGATTCACATTAAACCAAACCAAACTTTCTCTTAATAGTAAAAAATTAGACAAAGAGAGTAAAGAATGAGAGAAATAAAGGAAGAGACAAACATGGAGGCTCAGCCTGGAGTTGACCTTTAGCAGCTGGGAGCCTGAGAGCTGCAGGGAGAGAAACAAGTGAAATAAACCTATCAGATTCAGATTGGTTCCATTTGGATTTAGGGTTTTCTTTCTTCTTCTTCCCTCGAAGAAAGAAGAAAGAAGATGATGTTAATGGCGTGGGAAGGATGATCAAACAACCAAACAATCCCAAAAGCGAAACAATGGGGTGGAGGAATGTGTTTGACAATGCGAAGCCAATGTTCGTGACTATACGCCACTGTAATAATTGGGATCATCTTCTCGTCTTTGTATGTGATATCAGCCATTCACTCTAGCAAGTATGCTGCAAATTCCACCACCTCCTGGCTTTCCCGTCATTTTCTCTCTTTCTTTCTCTTTCTCTCTGCCTTTTCCTTTTGGGTTTCCTAGCCCATTGACTTTGTTATTGTTTCTTACCCTTATCCTTCAATTTCTATCCTTTCATTACATATTGGAAATGGGTTTTTGAGATTTTAGTTGCCCGTTGAAAAATTCAACGCTTATGTGCTTAGCACTGGAAATTGTATTTTCATTGTCTTTTATTCTTGTAGAGTTACAATGGTGCTCTTGTTTATACAGGATCCATTTCACTCTTCCCGCCACGTCTCTAACCAATGAAAACTACTAACTTATATCGCTAAGTGATCTAACTGATTCAACTGTGACAACATAAGCTCATTTACCCTTGTCCTCTGATCAAACGTCTGACTTTTGGTGCTTTAGTTTAGTTTTTTTGTGTTTTTTCTTTGGGTTAAAAAAGTGGATCAACTTTGTGGTTCTTGTTTGTTGTTACACACCAAAAGTTTCAACCTTTAGACATTGTGGCACCTTTGTATATCATTTCTCCATATTTTCATTTCCTCATATTAGCATTCTGGAGTTTGCATAAGAGTTGCTTGAGTTATTGCTAGACCCCAATATGAAATGGGTTACGAGAAGTAAACACCAAGCATCTCCTCTCAATCTCCGCTTGGATTATCAAATCAATTAAATATTGGCCACATATTCAAAGTATTAAGAACAGTAACAAATAATCAACATGGAATAGTAATCAGAAATTAATATAACTACAAAAATTAAATTCATGGTTAGGCTACATCGTAGCCCTAGTAAGGAAAATTAGCTCAAGAAAAAAGTAAAGATAAACAAGATAATCATTGTCATAAAACCGATTTGACCAATGGACTTGATCTCCGGAATCTCCACAGCAACACCTTCGTAAGCTTCAAAAGCACCGCAGAAGCAAACTTTTGGCACTCTCTCCGATATTTTTGTGGGTGTATTGAAATATGGTGAAAAAGTATATGGTCTGTCACATCCCGGATCGGCTCCGTCGTAGCACGATATTGTCCGCTTTGGGCCCCCCTTCTCTGTCCTCACGGTTTTATTTTTGGGAAGTCACGAGCAACTTCCCAATAGGTCACCCATCTTGGGATTACTGTAGCCCCAACTCGCTTAACTTCGAGGTTCCCATGACTCCGAAGCCAGTGAGCTCCCAAAAGGCCTCGTGCTAGATGGAAGTGGGCATGTACATATAAGATATATTATCCCCTCTTCGTTGGTCGATGTGAGATGTTACAATCCATCCCCCTTAGGGGTCCGACGTCCTTGTCGGCACACTCGCATCACACGGCAGAGTGGCTCTGGTATGGTCCCTCTAGAGAGAGCTCAGGGTGGCCTTATATAGTGTAAAACAACTAAACCCTACTCTAAAAAGGTCTAGAAAAACTATCTTAAAGCAAAACAAGATCCTAAATAAATAAGGAAACAAATTAGGACAGAATCCTTCTTTGACTTGAAAACACATTAGCTAAATTGCACGCACATTTGAGGTCGTTCCACTTCCAAGAAAATTCTGGACAAATATGAGAAACGTAGCTTGATCTCTAAGCTTTCCAAGCATATATCACACGACACTAGAAAAAATCGGGAAAGTCTTCAACTCTTCAATCTTCCACAAAAGTGCAGTTCTGACTGAATTTCAACTTAGGCTGTTTTAACTTGCAAGTCTAGAGCAATTGGCTTAATAAAAAATAATGAAACTTTGATACAATGATCTTCAATGTCTTAGCTTTTTTCTCCAAATGGCCTTGCGCTAAAATTCATTCAAAAAGTCGATTTTCAGTCGAAATCCTTCCAAGAGCATAGAATAGTTGAAAATCAAGTAAGGTAATAATGCTCTTATTAAGTAACTTTATCTACAAAAACCAAATATAAAAGGTATAAAATATAGGAAATAATGCACTTATCACAACCCCATAAAAATTCATGGATTTGCCATTGTGTGCATATATACATCAACATGGTCTCTTGACAAAGTGATCATTAAATATGTTGATTATTGCCCAAGATGCTGAGAAATTTGAAGCCATGCAATATAGGTGGTCCACTTGGGCAATACCTACACCAGGAGCTTCTATAATGCGGTGTGCTTAAGAGCCTCCGATAAAATTGGACGGTTAGTTTTCAAAATAATAATTCAAGATAGAGAAATTTGAAGGGAGAAACAGAGCATTCTACCTTGAGATTTCCTATTTAAACCCCGCATTTATGTTCTAAGTTCACCTCAACTTCATTCAAATTTTCATAATTTCTAAGAAAACCCCACTATCTTCCCAAACTACCCCTAAATACACACCCAACATAAAAAATAAAAAATAAAAGAGTTTTCTATTAAAACCCCATACTTTTCTTTGTTCACTCCAATACTTAAATAATTAAACTCTTAAGTTTTATATATAAAAAATCATATATTGTCATGAGACGATGTTGAAGAGGCAAAAGTGGTGAAGCATGATCATGAAAACGAAGGTGAACAAGAGCTGGAAATGTAGAAGGATGATTATAATCTCCCAATTACTCAGGCGATGGTTTATTTTTGGGTTGTGGTTGGTCTTTATTTATAGAAGGAGATGCTGGTTTTAATTAATTAAATTCATCGAGAATGAATTTAATAGGCATGCATGTTCCCCTCTTAATTTTATTTTGATGCTCATAGAGTTAGAGTCAGTCAAAGGCATGCATACTTTTTGTATGATTGATTGCTTGTACAATAAGACTAGTCATACTCTAAGGATCACTTTTCTAGTTTTATTGATTGGCTCCCCAATGTTCTACCTCTTTAAAAGAGAAGAGTAATCTGGCAATAAGATGTAAAGCAGTAGGGTGTGTAGGATGTATGTACAGATGTATTAGAGTTAAATATTAAGTTTGATGACCTTTTTCGTCTTTAACAGCTTAATGATTTAAGTATTTGGGTGAACAAAGAGAAGTGCGGGGTTTAAATAGAAAAACTCAAAAATTTTAACTGTTGCTTTAATGATTTTTTTGACTTTCCTATAATATCCTCACTTATTTTTCAAAATGACAGTCCTTTGTCCTCCAATACATCGAGCGATAACCAAACTCCGTTCCTTCTTTATTTGTTCGAAAATCAGAGTGAGTGAGAGGGAGAGAGTGATGAGCTTCATCAACGCCATCGTCTTCTTCGCATCAATCATCACCAGTCTCCATTGACGCCATCTTCCTCTCAACGGCTCTCTCTCAATGGCTCTCTCTTGTCGGCGCTCTCTTTCTTGTTGTCTCTTTCTCTCTAGCTCGCTCTATCTCTTCACTGGCTCCCTCAATCTCTCTCGCTGGCTGACTTCATGAGAGCCTCCATTCCATAGGTAACAACTGTCCTTCTATTAGAATGATTTTCTATAATTTTTGAAGAATCAATTTTTATATCCCTAATATGATTTAGGGTTAAAATATTTGGGCATTTAATTCTAAATTATTTGGGCAAATTGTTCTATTTTTAAAAAAAATATTTTCTGTTTATATAGAAATTAGGACAAACTATAGTAAACCCTCCAACCTATATGGTATTTGCGAGTTCATACCCGATTTTGGAGACATTTACCAGTTGCTTAACGTCACGGAAATCCAATTTGCCTCGTTCGTTAGCCAAACTGTTAGTGAGTCTGTTAAATGCTGACGTGTCAAAAGTAGGACCCTTTTTTTTTTATGACGTAGACTTCCACATGGACCCAAAATTAATAAAAAATAATTTTACTGTTTAAATTATTTTAAATTAATTTTAAAAAATCTCTCTTTCTCTCTCTCTCAACACCCAAAAAAATAATGAAAAATTATATACTTATTAAAAAAAGAATTAAAAATTGAATAATTAAGAAACCAAAAAACAAACTGAGAACCCACCTACCGCCGTCGCAACCCTCCCTCAACACCCACCCATGGAAGTAACAACAGTAAAAGTAAACAAGGCTGAGATGATGAGAATAATTAGATCTGGAAATTGAATGGATCTCAACAAGTGAAGAACTGAAGAAAAAAACACTTAAATTGTCCTCACAGCAGAGCAGCACATTTTCATTCCATGGCTTGTGAAATGAAACCTCTTTTCCTTGATCTTAAGAGTGAACGTTGCATACCCACAACACCATTAGCAATAAGAACAATTAAAGATGAAGACTTTTTGCAAACCCAAACAGGTTATTGACATGGGATTGCCAATGAAAAACAAACCAAACCCATCCCCAAACCAAAACCTAGCCATCACTAAATCCTCTAAATAGGTTATTATTTGATTTATTTGCAGAAATTGAAATCGATATTGAGATGGCGGAAGACACCCTTCCTACCCTGCCACTTCACCATCACTGTCACGTTCACGCCACCATCTAGTTATGAAGTTCTTTGGCCACCACTAGATCCGACGAGCCCAAAACTCGACCCACATGCAATGCATCATATCTGACGAGCCCCAAATTCGACATGCGAAGAAAGGTTTCCATTTGAGTTCGGGCGAGCTGCTGCAAAAATAAAATTCGCCGGCGCGATGAACCATCTCCAACCATAACCACCATAGCCATCGGCGACATCCCCCATTGGAAAAAATCAATAGCTTTCAGGTTGGGCGAACTAAACCAAGCAAGGCATGAAGGAGGTTGTACAAAAGGAAAAGAGAAACCCTGGCAAGAGATTGAATGGAAAAGAAATTGAATCTAAAGACTCTTATGCTATACTAGACCCTAATACTTTACTAAGTGATTCAAACACGGGCACCGAGCTCTCTGAAATTGATGAAAACTTGGTTATACATTATGTGGATGATGTGAACAAGTTTGAGGAGGTGCCTCAAGATCTGAAAGCCAATCTAATGATGTCCAAAGGGAACATTGATGACGAGGGTGAGTCGGGGAGAGGGGGATGTGGTGATGGCGGAGGGTGGGTTGGAAGGGTGTTTTTTTTTTCTCTGAGGAAGAGGGTGAGGCTGCGAAGAAGATTTTTTTTTTTTTTTTTTTTTTTTTTTTTTTTTTTTTTTTTTGTTTTTTTTTTTTTTTTTTTTTTTTTTTTTCTTTTATTTTAGTATGTATATAATTTTGTTATTTTTATTTTTTGTTTTTTTTCACCGAAGTCCACATCATCAAAAAAAGGGGTCCCACTTTTGATACGTCAGCATTTAACACACTCACTAACAGTTTGGCTAACGGATGGGGCAAATTGTAGGGTTTCCGCGACGTTGAGTATGTACTGGTAAATGTCCCCAAAATCGGGTATGAACTCGTAAATGACCCTATAGGTTGGAGGGTTTACTGTAGTTTGTCCTAGAAATTAAGGTAACTTTTATTTTATTTTATTATTATTTTCTGTTTTAGGGATTTATATATATGTGTGATTATGTGTTTGTTCCTCCATTGTTTATGAGATTCTGAATCAGATGTCTTGGTGTTTGTGATTTGTTGTTGTAACAAGAGATGGGAATCAGATCTCTTGGCGTTTGTGATGGCTTACCCTTCCAACTTCAGATATTCACATGCTTGTTCTCTGCTTTCTACCTGTAAGTGAACTGCTAAAGCTTGGAGCAAAAAGTCAGGTCTATGCAAGGACTGCTCTGGTTTTTGTGAATGATGCTTTAGGTTGTGTTAGGACTGGTGGTAAGTGATGAATGGGTTATGACATATCTAATGCTGCACTAAAACCTTCTCAAGTGTAAAATCAGTGTTTATTTAATCATTGGTTTCTGGGTTTTGGCTTACAGGGGTAAGTGATGAATGGGTTTTTATTCTTTGTTCAAATTTTGTACCTTTGAAATGAGAACCAATGCGGAGTGCTTCATCCATGCTAACTCAGTATGACATTGAAGAAGGTGTTGGTATGATATTCTTCAGAATACTTGTGAAAAATATAAACTGTTCAAGTATTGGGTACTTGCAAATAGTTCTTTAATTGCTCATGTTTACAGTAGATAAGTTATCTCTACTTGTTTCTCTGAAACAAGCTCTATCAAGGAGAATAAATAAAGAGATATTTAGTGATATATCCATTCTTAGCACTAATATTATAGATAAACCCTACATCATTGAATTTCTATAAACAAACCCAAAAAAACCCCAAAAATGACAGCTGGCCTTATTAAATTTAATATTGATTATTAAATTACTTTAATACCCTATTGAGTGTTTTGGGTATTTTTATGAGATTTTGAGGTTGAGCTTGTTTTAAGAAATTTATGGTAGTTTTGTAATTTATAAGAAGTTAAAGCCTCTTTGTTATGTTGTAAATGGGTTTTGGGTGTGTTTATAAAGTTCATTTCATATGGGGTATTTTTATAATTTGGGCCCCCATATTGGGTATATTTGTGAATCTCCCATAAATAAATAGCTAAACCTAAACAGGAAAACAGGTACCAGTGAATGAGATTACGTAGTTTGGGTAGGTGGTTTTAAAGCCATACAGGCATTACCTCTGTTACCTCTGTTTTGAAGCCATATAAACTTGTTACTGCTTCTACTACCATTCTTGATATTTGCATATATTCTTCTAGTATTCATGACAATGAGGGAAAATCTTCTAGCATGTTTGGAACTTAGCTTGAAGATATGTGTTTCTAAATTTGGCACAAATCCTGACTTATTTCTCATCCTTTTTGGACTGCATTAGCTATAATTGTACAGAATAGTTTTACTTCATTCACTACTTAACTTTGTATTCGTGTAAAAACTCTTTTATGTTCTCCAGTGAACCCAAAATTTATCTGTATGTGGACTATGTCGTGTACGTTACCATCTGATCTTGTCCATTTGTGAAAGGCAAAGTACATAAGAAGATGATGATGATGAGAATGGGCAGCATTTAGGAGCAATCATATGTAGCTCCTCTATTTCTAATTATAGTTTAATTTTATGGATGTGGTATTTTGTATGGATATAGTTGGAATCAAGATTGGTAAACTGTGTCATTAGTATTGAATCTTCAAGTTTTATGAAAGAAACAATTTTTGAGTATATATATGTATAGTGTGGGCAATAGAAAATTTGGACCTAAATTTATTGTTCCCAAAAGAAAGAAGCTAATGAATGCATTGAGAAAGAGCATTGCTACAAGTTTAATGAATGCATCTAATTAGCTTCTTTTATATTGTAGTGATCTATTGGGGCCTTTTAAAATTGAACAAATTTTGTATATTTGTTATGTTCGAAATCCTCAAAAGACATTGTTATTATTAATATAACAATATTTAGAACTACTTTTGTTATAATAGTAATTTATAATTTATGGTAAAATATGTATGCAAATTGTAGATTAAATTTTTTGATAAAAAAAGTGTGAATTAAAAAAATAAAAAAATTTATGTAGTGAAGTTGGTTTTTTATTTATTTAAAAAAAGTAGAAAAAGAATGAAGAAAATAACAAACAGTTTCATCATCATGTCCTTTTTGGTCATTAGACACTCTAAAAACACTTCTGATAAAAATGTACTAAACACTTTGGCCCCGTTCGGGATTGCTTTTTTTGGTCAAAAACCTGCTTCACTTTAAAGTTAAGCAATTTAAGATGTTTGGTAAAAATAAAATATCTCGAATATTTTAAAAGCAGTTGCCTTTTGACAGCAGCTTTTAAAAGCAGGCTATGGGTTGTTTTTCAAAACTGCTTTCAAAACAAGCATAAATGAACCTTTAATGAATTTTTTAAATTCCCAAAATACCATAATTCATTTTAAAAAATGACACCACCTCCACTTCCACATCCAACTCCACCACTTGTACCACCACATATACTACCTCCGCAACCACCGCCGCTGCCGCCACCACCACCATCACCACCACCACCACCACCACCTCCTCCTCCTCATCATCATCCTCTGCCACCACCACCACAACCACCTCCTCTTCCACCACATCCACCACCACCTCCTCAACCTCCACCTCCACCACCACCACAATCACTACCACCACCACTACTTCCATCACCACCACCACCACTACTACCATCACAACCACTACCTCCTCTAAAACCTCCACAACCGCCATCCCCACCACCACCACTACCACAACCACCAACTCCACCTTCATCATGAGCACCACCTCTACTCCATCACCACCACTACCACCACATGATTAATACATAACACTTTCAACATTATGTCTATTTTAGTCATTATTCATAAGTACAACAATTTTATATTAAAATTTACCAAACAGTTTTGACACTGCTTTTTGTACTAACAACACTTTAAAAATATTATTTACCAAACATGGAGCTGCTTTATTTTACAGCTAATTATTTTCAAAGCATAGCATTAACAACTTTTTTTAAAAGTGACAGCAACCCCAAATTGGGCCTTTGACTAATCACAACAGTTTTCAAAAACAATTTACCAAACGCCTAGTAGCTTTTTTTCACAGCTGATTATTTTTGCAGCACAGCAGAAGCAGTTTTTTTTAAAAGCACAATAACGCCAAACTAGCCCTTAATCTTATCCCTACTATTTGGTTATCAATCAGAGCCAAACCAAACTGCAATTAATTTGGTTTGATTTGATTTTTTTGCCTATTACAAAACCACCTAATCCAAACAAAACTAGGTTTTTTTTTATTTTTTTTTATTTTTATCTTTTGACATTTATAGGTTGTCACCATCTATGTGTCATTCCCATAGTAACATCAATCATTTAAAATTAAAATTAAAATATGTAAGAGCATCTTCAAGGGAGATGTCCAATACCAAGCATCAAATTTAAATTTGATGGCTGATATGGCAATTTGACATTTTTACTCAGTTTTGCACTCCACCCGATATGTCAAATAAATAATTATTGTAACAGTCAAATCATTCAAGATAAAGAAAAAAAAATGAAACTAACAGCCAATTGTCTTAAAAAATAATAAAATATTCATTTGATATCTTGCTTTTGGGATGTCAAAAGTAATGGTTGAACTTTCATGTCACATCCAAGGATCGGCTCCGCCGTAGCATGATATTGTCCGCTTTGGGCTCCCCTCTCTGCCCTCACATTTTTGTTCTTGGAGCTCACGAGCAACTTCCCAGTAGGTCACTCATCCTGGGATTACTCTAACCTAAACTCGCTTAACTTCGGAGTTCCCATGACTCCGAAGCCAGTGAACTCCCAAAAGACCTCGTGCTAGATGGAGGCAGGCATGTACATATAAGACACATCACCCCCCTCTCCGTTGGTCAATGTGGGATGTTATAATCCACCCCCTTAAGGGCCCGACGTCCTCGTCGGCACAATCGCACCACACGGCAGAGTGACTCTGATACCAAATTGTCACATTCTGGGATCGGCTCTGCCTTAGCACAATATTGTCCGCTTTGGGCCCCCCTCTCTGCCCTCACGATTTTGTTTCTTGGAGCTCAAGAGCAACTTCCCAGTGGGTCACCCATCCTGGGATTGCTCTAGTCTCAACTCGTTTAACTTCGGAGTTCCCATGACTCCGAAGCCAGTGAGCTCCCAAAAGGTCTCGTGCTAGATGGAGGCGGGTATGTACATATAAGACACATCACCCCCTCTCCATTGGTCGATGTGAGATGTTACACTTCAGCCTTCATTCCACATCAACTTTGACAATTCGGTTTGAGTGATGTGAGATGTTATTTCTAGGGGTGGGCATTGGAACCGCAAAACCGTAAAACCGAACCAAACCAATCCGGAAAAAACCGAACCAAACCAATCCGGAAAAAACCGAAAAAAACCGTGTTGACCGAAAAAGTCAAAAACCGAGAAAAATTCAAACCGAACCGGTTCAGACCGGTTTCGGTTTCGGTTTTCCACCCTTAGGAACCGGTCCAATCCGAACCGGTCCAATAAAATTAATATATATATTTTTATATTATATTTGAAATTATATAAATATTTTATACTTGGCTAAGTTTGATTGGGTGTCTACGCTACTACCATAGGCGCGCATCACAGAGGAAAAAAAAAGACGCTGACTCTGACTGACTGAAACGACCTAGGTTTTTTTTGTCTTCGTTCCTCTCTTCTTCGATTTCATTTCTTCTTCGTTCGTTCCTTCCTTCATTCATACAGAGCTGCCCCCTGACTGACTGAAACGACCTAGGTTTTTTTTGTCTTCGTTCCTCTCTTCTTCGATTTCATTTCTTCTTCGTTCGTTCTGTTCCTTTCCTTCATTCTTCGTTCGTTCGTTCGTTCCTTTCCTTCGTTCGTTCCTTGCCTTCTTCCAAACCTCTATTTCTCTCTCAGTCTCAGCCATCACGTCACGCCTCTCTGCCGTCGCTCTTCTTCCAGTCGCCGCCGTCGTTCTGTCGCTCTTCTCTCTCTCAGCCGTCGCGCCGCCGTCTCTCTCACTCACGCAGCCTGCAATTCAAGAGATGTCATCCGACCTCAAGAGATGGAGTTCCATGTCGTGACGCAGGTTAGATAGATTCTGTCTTTTCTTTTTATTTTTTGACACATTTTCCATGGAGTTCCTGCAATTCAAAATCTTCTGACAAGTTTTCTTTTTCTCAAAATCAGCAACGTGCAGACTTATGAGTGACATCGATTCCTGAGTTTACTTGTGTATCACCTGCAAAGGTTGTATCCTAACCTTGTTAATCAGTTAGATCCGAAAATAACTTGCTCTTTGCTTTCTTATCTTTTCGTTTTTATGAAATATCAATGGCTTCTTGTTTTTTTATTTCTTATTATTTAGTTTTTATGAAATATCAGTTCTGGTTAGATTTCATGAATCAATTTGAGGTGCAAATTCTTGCAATGATATTGTCCCAAGTGACTCGGTGTCATGGATTCAAGTCACGGATACAGTCTGCATTTGTCTCGTCCTTACCAAACTCTGCTTATCTCTTGAAGATTGGAATTGTACTTATCTCTTGAAGATAACCTGTATTAACATTTACCATAACCAAATTTTGTTGTTGAACCTTGGTGACTTAATAAAGCTGGATGTGTTTCACAGTTTCAAGAATGTAGATTGAACCTTATGATTTTATAATTGTTTTCCCTTTTTTCTTTGGTATACTCTGTTCATTTCTTATAAGTATGTGCTGCTCCAGGAAATTAGCAAAATTTCGTTTGTTATTTATTATGTATGTATGTATGTATGAATGTATGCATCTTAATGCAGTGACAATATATAGAGGGCCTAGAGGCACTGTATGTTCCATTATTTGAATATCCCTGTTTGATGGGTAGAATCTTTGTCATATCTGGGAGTGTATTGGTTAATGGAATTTTATTATTTTTTTGGTGGTTTTTTAGCAGGTTTGCTTCATGATCGGGAATGGGTTCTTACAAGCCTAAGTGGTGAAATTCTTACACAGAAGAAGGTGAAATACCAATTTAGTAGTTTTCGACCAAAAAAACCATTTTTTCTTTTATTGACAGCTTATGGGTTCTTCTCTTTCATCAGTGCTGATACTAATACCTTCCTTCATGCTAATGTCTAGGGTTGGCATCATCCTCTCAGCAGCAGCTCACGGTGGTAAATACACCTCCATAGGCTCGAAGTTTCATTGGTTTCACGCAGACCAGCATCAATTTTCTCGCAGCTTCCATCAGCAGCAATTCTGTCTATCTCAGGTATTCTTCATCTCTCTCTCTCTCTCTCTCTCTCTCTCTCAGATATTTTGAATTTGATGTTTTGCAACTGAAATTTGGATGTTTGCAACTGAAATTTGGATGTTTGCAACTGAAATTTGGATGTTTGCAGCTGAAATTGGTTTTGATTATATCTGTATGTTTTGATTATATCTGAAATTTGGATGTTTGCAGCTGAAATTGGTTTTGATTATATCTGTATGTTTTGATTATATCTGAAATTTGGATGTTTGCAACTGAAATTTGGATGTTTGCAGCTGAAATTGGTTTTGATTATATCTGTATGTTTTGATTATATCTGAAATTTGAATGTTTGCAGCTGAAATTGGTTTTGATTATATCTGTATGTTTTGATTATATCTGAAATTTGGATGTTTGCAGCTGAAATTTTGATGTTTTGCAATTGAAATTTGTATAGCTTGTATGATAATTGGTTTTGATTATATCTGTATGTACAGCTTGTAATTGGGAAATGAGACATAGTTGTTTTTTTTTTACTCAAGTGTTTTGTTTTGTTAGTTCGATTGTATAATATTTAATTTTCTGTTTTTTTTTTTAAATTGAGGGCTTGTTTTTTGTTAGTATCATGTTTAAGTTGCTTTTTTTTTTTGTTTCTTAAAGAAATCATGAATGAGTCAAACCCATTTGGAGAGGTACATCCCACTACTAATAGTGAAGTTGGTTCATCATCCGCATCCGTATCCACATCCGCATCCGCATCCGCATCTTCTTCAACACCTTCATCCACTTTACCTAACCCTCAAACACTAACTCAAAGTACACCTCAACCGAGTGGTCTTCCACCATTACCTCATTCCGGCCCAAAAAGAGAAAAATCGGAAGTATGGGATCACTTTGAGAAATATGAAGAAGTGGTTGAGAGTGTGAAGGAGGATGGGAGCAAATATGCAACCACTAAGAAGAGAGCTAGGTGCAAGTATTGCACTATGAGCTATGCAGCAGACTCTACTAGAAATGGGACCTCAAATTTGAGGAAACATATTGAAAACTTATGTAAGAAATATCCGGGAAGGGTTCCTAAAGATAAACGGCAAAAGCTCTTGTCTTTTGACCAAGAACATGGGGTTCTTACATCAACAATGCATGGTAAAGAAGAGTGGTTAAAGGCATGTGTAGAGATGGTAGTAATGGATGAGATGCCGTTTAGTGTGGTTGAAGGAAAAGGGTTTAGGCGGTTTTGTAATTCTTTGAACCCCCATTTTCAAGTGCCATCGCGTAGGACACTTGTGAGGCATTTCATGGTAATGTATGATGCCATGAAACAAAAATTGAAAGAAGAATTAGCACCACATAGAGTATGCCTCACAACGGACACTTGGACAAGTGTTCAAAACATCAATTACATGGTCATCACGGCACACTTCATAGATGGTGATTGGAACTTGCACAAAAGAATCTTGAACTTTTGTGTGATTTCCAATCACAAGGGGAACTCAATTGGTAAACTCCTTGAGTCATGCTTGCTTGATTGGGATTTGAAGAAGATATTAACCATCACGGCCGATAATGCTTCTTCAAACACAAAGGCTATAGATTACTTGAAGTCGAAAATGGGCCATTGGGGAAATGGTAGTCTTTTATTAGAGGGAAAGTATATGCACATTAGGTGTTGTGCTCATATTGTGAATTTGATAGTTCGTGATGGGTTGAAGAAGTTGGAAAAAAGCATAGTGTGTATAAGAAATGCTGTGAAGTATGTAAGATCTTCTCCCAAAAGGTTGGAGGACTTTAAGAGTTGTGTTAAGAAAGAGCAAATTGAATGCAAAGGGCTTGTGGTGTTGGATGTGCCAACAAGGTGGAATTCCACATATATGATGTTGGAAGCCGCCTTAAAGTTTGAAAAGGCATTTTGGAGAATGGGAGAAGATGATGAAGGCCCATATATTTCTTGGTTTGGTGAAGATGAACCGGATCTTGAAGATGGGGTGGTTATGTCTCATTATCCTAGAAAGAGGGAAGGACCACCAACTAATGAAGATTGGAACAATGCTCGTACCTTTGTGAATTTTTTAAAGGTATTTTATGATGCTACATTGAAGATGAGTGTCACTTTGCATCCCGCTTCCCACACCACATTTCATGACTTGATTGCAATGGAAGAAGAAATTGAGGATTTGTTGATGGAAGAGGAGGAAATATTAAGTGAAACCCAAACCTCCAAGGTTTTGAAGGACATGACACTTAACATGAAGATGAAGTTTAAAAAGTATTGGGGTGACCTTGATAAATTGAACCAAATTTTGATGGTTGCTCTTGTTCTTGACCCTCGATACAAATTGGGGAACTTGGAGTTTATCTTGAAAAGCCGGTTTGAAAACCCGGAAGATGCGGTTAAGAAGAAGAATAAGATCAAAGAGATTTTAAAGAAGTTTTATGAAGAATATGCCATGCCACCACCACCACCACCACCTACTCAAAGTAGTAGTTATTATTCTAGTGATACTACTACAATGAGTACAAGTAGTAGCCGAGGGGGAAAGAAACGAAGGCAAATGACCGAAAATTGGAGAAAAGAGACTCGAGCAAATGATGTTGTGGTATTGGAGCATGAGATTGATAGGTACATCACCGACCCTATTGAAGATGTGGTTGATGAATTTGATGTTTTGAAGTGGTGGAAATTGAATGGGGTTAAGTATCCGGGGTTGGCACTTATTGCAAAGGATGTGCTTGCCATCCCGGTATCAACGGTGGCTTCGGAATCATGCTTTAGCACGGGTGGTCGGGTAGTTAATTCATTTCGTGCTTCTTTGACTCCTAAGATTGTGGAGGCCTTAATTTGTTCTCAAAATTGGTTAAGGTCGGATGACATTTCCTCTTTACAATATGAGCCAACAATTCAAGAGATGGAGTTCTATGAATCGATTGAATTAGGTATGTCTTTGTAATTTTATATGCTTTATTAATGTATTATATAATGTGTATGTTTGACTAATATTTTAATGGGTTTATGTTTTTTTTATGTAGATATTATGAGTTCATCCACACCTAGCACCATAGCTCCAACTACTTTTCAATGTTAGGAGGAATTTAATGAAGTTGGATTGAATTTGGGTTGTAATGTATATTTGAATTGAATTTGGGTTGTATTTGGCTAGTAATTTATTTTGGAACTTATTTTGTTGAAGTTTGATTGAATTTGGGTTGTAATTTATATGTTGAAGTTGGATTGAATTTGGATTGCATTTTTGTTGAAGTTTGATTGAATTTGGGTTGTAATTTATATGTTAAAGTTTGATTGAATTTGGATTGCATTTTTGTTAAAGTTAGATTCATTTTGATGCGTTGAAAGCTTGATAGAACCTCAAATTTGAGGTATGTTAGTATATAAATTCATTTTGGGCAGGTTTGTTTATTTATTAAAAAAAAAAAAAAAAAAAAAAAAAGATTCGAAACAGGTCCGGTTTGGTTCGGATTTTTGTATGGATATTGAGCAGAACCGGTCCAAACCGAACCGAATTGCACTATTGGATCAGGTTCCATTTTTCTCCAAGAACCGGTCCAAACCGAACCGTGCCCACCCCTAACTTATTTCTAGTCGTTAAATGTCTATGTGGCACTTTTAAAAAATAAGAAGTTTTCTTACATATGAAAGTTCCCTTTGGTATATGTAAAAAACTATAATATATCTGGTTAATTTCTTATGAAGGGAAATGACTGATCAAACTGAACCAAATCAACCACTAAATACGAATTAGTTTGGTTTGCTTAAACTACTAATTTGAAGTTTAAATCGAAGCAATTTGATTTGTAATGCTACATCGGTTCGGTGTGTGGTTTGAAGCATAAACCGGACCACTCCATACTCCGGTAACTAGTAAGATAGTCTTCATTTAAACACTTTGGGCCTTGCTAGTTTTTGAAAGCACAATATTGTCTTCAATAAATTCATTTTCCTCCAATTAAAAAGGTAATCCATTTGGATTTAGGATCCACACATCAACATGTGAAATCCATCTTATAATTTTTCCCATAAGGGGGAGAGAATTATGAAAAGCTGTTTTGTATTTTACTTAGTGACACCGAACCTAGTCCATCTGAATTGTGTTTTTTTCTCTCAATCTCCATTTATCCTGTGTTACTTAACATGACATTTTTTTTTTTTGGCATCCAAGTCGTTTCAACACTTCTTAGGTACTGTCTATGCCTCCTACACAGTTGAAGCACAATTTTGCTTGGCTTTTCAATGATCTCTATCACATAACTTTATATCTCAAGATCTCAAATTGTGAACAACTTCCGGGGATTTAGCGACTAGCTATCAGTTGAAGAAAACCAATAAGAAAACCAATAAGGGAGACACTTGAAGGATTTAGAGTGAAAATTTAGATCTAGAGAGAAGGTCTTCTCAGAAGATACTTTAGGTAATTCTTTCTGCCCAGTTAAATTATGAGATATTATAAATCGAAGAAGAGCACAATGAATTCTCTTCTAATTCTTATGTTTTGAATTTAGATTTTATGATCTTAAAGGTTATTTTAATAATGATAATTTTTAACATTTTTTTCCCTTGGCCTTCATAATTATAAATAATTTTGCATTGATTTTTCTACCAAATCACTAATATCTAGTTATTTTGAAATTATTTTTTTGTCACTATTTTTCAATATCTTATATGGTGGAATGTGATTAATTGAGGATGACAAAACAATGTTATTTGTATTGAGAATGACAAAACAGTGCTATTTGCATGACAAGTGTTTTGTGCTTGTTGAGGGAAAAATAAGGGAGATTCACAATTATACCCAACACAGAGGCCCAAATTATAAAAAAAATCTACATGAAATGGACTTTATACACCTAAAGCTCATTTACAACATAACTAATGGGTTTCGAATTTCTTATAAATTACAAAATTGTCATCGATTTCTTAAAACAAACTTAACCCCAAAACCTCATAAAGAAATCTAAAACACTCAATAGAACATTAAAGTAATTTAATAATCAAAATTAAATTTAATCGAGCCAGCTGTTATTTTTGGAGTTTTTTTTTAGCGCTTTGTTTATAAAAATTAAATAGGATATGATTTATCCATACCAAGAGTACTAATAAGGTGTATATAACTAAATATCTAAAAAAATAAATCGCTTTTATGTAACTTGAAATTGTAATCAACCACTAAAATAATACTTCAACTTTTTCTTTACCGAGGGATAATAAAGAAAAGAATGCACCAATAACGAAAAAGTCCAAACTTTGAGCCGGACTTCAAAAACGTTCCGGATTCGTTTTCATACCACAGACAAAAAAATTATTAAGAAAAAAAGAAAAAAGAAAAAGAAAAGTCCAAACGTTTACGGACCAAACTTCTAACAGCTCCTCCTCGCCTGCACTCTGGGCTAAAAAGTCTTTCTTCTCCGGCGAATTTCCGGCCAAAACTTCTAACAGGCGAGCCTCCTGTCTCTTCTATTCTCTCCATAGAACGTATTTTTTATTTTTACTTTTTTGTATACTATACTTTGCTTTCTCTTATTATTATTTAGCTCTCACCGAACAAATATGCTATTTCTGTTGAGCTGGTGTTTATTTTCTTGATGATTTTATAGTTTAATTTCAACGAATCAAAATTGAAAAGTATTGTAGCTCAAATTACAATATGTATCAGATCTCTGTGAAAACTAGGCAGCGGAATTTTGATTTTCTGTTGTTTGTTTTTTATTATTTTGTTTGCAGTAGGGATATAAGATGTGCCTTCAAAATTCTTGTGCGCATTTGTCGGCAGAGGAGGCGGTTGCAATCGAAGAGAGTCTTTTGATATATTGCAAGCCAGTTGAGCTCTACAATATCCTTCGCCCCCGTGCTCTGCACAATGTATATTTTCACTCACTTGCGTTTCGTTCCAGCTCAACTTTTTATTTATTTATTTAATCGTGCCGTGTGTTAGTTTTCAGTTAGAATTGAACATTCATGCATGATAAACCGCTTGATAACGGCCGTGATTGTCAAAGTTTGATCATGATTGCACATTCAGACACCTTTGTTCTCTTCTTATTTTTGACATGTATTTGGTTAGGGATAAAAGGAATATTTGTGTTTCCATACTTATATTTTTATTTGCACACTCATCTAAATGCATTCGGGAGCGAAATTTGTAGGTGTTGAATGGTTATTGCTGTACTCTTGTTAAAATGGTGCCGTCTGTGTTTTTATTGTCTAATCAAGTGCTTTCTATGTTGTAGCCTTTATTTCTGCGTAGATGTTTGCATTACAAAATCCAAGCAAGGCGGAAAAGGAGGTACCGGTTCTATCTTTGAATACACACAAACACGCATATGGAAGTATGTGTTTATGTACGAATATTGTGTTTAGTACTTGTGTTCATTGCTCTGATTTATTTCATTTTGCCATGGCACATACACACAAACACACACAAGCATGCTATTTTCTCTGCGAGGACTTCAATAAAACATTTTAGTTGCTGACTTTTAGAGGACAATTAATACTTTTTGCTGCATGCTATTGTCTAGGTTCAGGACTGGGATTGTAATATTCAACTATAGGGACTACAACAACACGTTACGAAAGACTGAAGGTATCATCAACCGCCCCTATTTAGCATGATGTTGAAAGTAGAATAATGATGATTTAAGTTGAAAAACTTGATGACAGTGGAAAATGTGTGTCCTGGGATACAGAACACAAGAAGGACAACAAAGCATGAAAAACCCTATAGAATGCGTTTTTTTATCTTCTAACTTTCTCTCTTTAAGAGAAAAATGTATTGTTTAGTTTCTTATTTGAAATGGTTTGGTTTGCTGCATGGTGCTATGCACTCTTGAGCAAATATATAATTTTAGTTTTTCTGCATTTGAGGTTAATTTAGATACCTTGGTTATACTGGTTGTAAATGATTTCAACCCTATGGTAACCCTGAAGTTTGTAAATTTTTGTTTATATGAACTTATTTTCGTCAGTAGAAGTATCTTGAATTCAACATGATTGACACACTAACCGTTATGTGTACTTTTTTAAACATTCAGTTACTGAAGACTTCACCTGTCCCTTTTGCTTGATGCAATGTGCAAGCTTTAAGGTAGGTACTAATGTGGAGGTGTGCTACTCTTTGTCGTCCCATTTATGTTTTGACTAAATTTAACATAAATTGTGGAATATCCAATTTTGCTAGAGGTTAGTGAGAGAAAGGAAAACTACTCCACATCAGGAATACTTTCTCATGTTCTTTGAAGTTTGCATAAAACCTTTAAAGTGTTTGCAGTAAATGCGAAAAGATTGGGCCCAAAGACTCCCAACATATATGTTTTCATATACAACATGGTAGGAATTGCTCATCGAGTATGAAAATCTTAGTGATGTCCATATCCAAGATCAATTTTTCCTACATTAGTCATAGATAAACGTGCATACACACATTTGTTTATTCCTGTGGAACTTAAGCTTTGACTCTTCAACTTTTTTAAGCTTCTTTTTTCCTCTAAATTGATTTGATAGTTATTTGTAATTTTTAGAGATCTATTTGATATGAGAGGCTGAATTGTTTGTGAAATGACATCCCCACCTGTATTGGCAGGAGTTTCAACTTTGTGATCATGTTGTGTATATTTGTTCTACTGAAGAAACCTAATTTATTTATTCGACCATAATATTTTTGGTTTCCTTTTTTCATTATTCCCTTTCTTTTGAGTGACTATTTCCATGATATTTTTTTCACAGCTTATATGGTTCAATTACTAATATTTACTTATTTAGCTTGATGCTGAAGAGAACGTTCATTTTCCCTTGTAGGGTCTGCGTTATCACCTGTGCTCTTCACATGACTTATTCAACTTTGAGTTTTGGGTTGGTAATGAGTATCTAGTCACTTTCTGCTTATTCTGAAGAGGCTGCTCATAAAACATTTATTTTGTAGGTAACTGGAGAGTACCAGGCAGTAAACGTTTCTGTGAAAATTGATATATTGAGATCTGAGGTAAGAACTTTATTATCATCCTGTTTCCATTTTCCAAATCAGAAATGCAAATAATCATTGTGATAGTTTCTTATGCCAGTGTTTAGGTACAGAAACTGAGCATCATATTTAGTCATAATTTGCAAGTGGATCATTTTCTTTGTTTTTTTATTTATAAATTTCTTTAAAAAGGTAAATGAATAAGTTATTTATGGCTAAATATATCCTGTTACATTTTTTGTATACAGACTGTAGCAGATGGAGCAGTCCCACAACTTCAAACATTCTTCTTCTGGTCGGTTTAAATCCCTTGGTACAACTTAAAGCTACTGGCTAACATCCTATTTGTTCTTCAATAGGAATTCAGAGTTAATTTGGTGAAAATTTTGTTTTTGCAGTTCAAGGCCAAGAAAACGTAGGGCAGAGAACCGTGGTCAAAATGAAAAGCATGTTAATGTACAATTCTTGGAGTTAGACTCACCTAGACTAGCCAATGGAGTTGTACACGAGGGACTTTTGGAGAATGATGATGGTAAGTTTTTTTGCTTTTTGTGATACATTAGGTTGGTCATTTTTAACTAGTGAAGAAGGGAAAGAAACTCAAGAGAAAGAGACGAAAAATTCCATTATATCCTCTTTTCTGCAAAGAACTGGAGAAAATATGAAATATGTATCACCACTGGCCTATTCGGAGTACCTGTAATCTCTGGCAAGAATGTTTTTCAGAAATTTGATGTTTCCCTAAAATATATCCACGTCTGTGTAAGACATCAGGTTGGTCTAGGATTGGAGTTTTCTTTTTTGTTTTGTGCATAATTAATTCTCCTCAGTAACAAGGAAACTTGAAGAGGTGTTCTTGCTCTTCTCTGGCTGATCACTGAGCTAATGCTTAAAATGGTGTGTTAATAATAGTATCAGGATCATGAAGCATGTCTAAAGCGGTCCCTAGTGCGTTATGACACTTCTTTTCTCTTTCTTTTTTTTTCCAGTTATTTTTTACCTCAAAAATAGCTGGTCAAGTTGGTATGCATTTGTAAATCTGGTTGACTTGTTCTGTGGTATATAGTAACTCCATGGGATATTCTTGCTGGTATGTCAGTCAATGGCTCAGATAAGTCTTCTTGTGGTTTGAATCAATTATAATAGATTTCATAATTTTAAGAACTAACATAAAATATGTAGCATCCGTCTTAATTTTGTATATAAACCACAAACAGACTACCTGTTTGATTAATTCTATAATATTTGAATTGCATCCTCTGATTTGAATGTTCAATGTTCCAGCAGAGTCAATTTTAAGTTAGATAACAGTGGTTGTGACAAATTTAAGCTCAATTTCAGTTGCGAGGAGTCTCTGATTATTCTGATTGAACTTGAAGTGGGTTGAATGTTGTTGCTTTTAAATTCAAGCCATGCTTAGTTTATAATGGTTTCCCTTGGACATTTTTATTAAATAAATATTTGATCGCATAGTACGGTTCAGACATCTACAGGTGCAGTAATTTCCAAATTTGTCTAGCAACTGGGTTGAAGGTTTAATTATTACTCGTATATTTATTTTCTCGTATTCCTTTGTTTGGAAGACTGTCATTTAACTTCATTTTTGGTTGTTCTGTCCTCCAAAGGTGAGAAGGCTTCCAAGGTGCATTGGGAAGATATCCAGCTTCCATCTACAGGTGCAGTAATTTCCAAATTTGTCTAGCAATTGGGCTGAAGATTTAATGATTTACTCATATATTTCTTTTCTCGTATTCCTTTGTTTGGAAGACTGTAATTTAACTTCATTTTTGGTTGTTCTATCCTCAAAAGGTGAGAAGGCTTCCAAGCTGCGCGTCGAGTGGAAAGATATCCGGCATAGAAGGCATGAACATGAAAACTATGGTCCTGATCATCCTAGTTCTGTAGAATGTGTAACATCAAGTTCCAATATTCCTGGTTCTACAGTTGGATCTCTGGAGCCTGATTGTGTTAAAATTCTATCTGGAAGTGATTCCGCACCACCTACTAAAATAAGGAAGTTAAATGGAGAGCGATCGGACCCAAAAAAGTATGTCAACCTAGGCCATGATTTTTAGTTCAAGTCCATTGTTTTTCAGTATCTTATATTGATTTTCCTTATAATCACTATTTGATTAATGGTCTTCTCATGGTCATTACTATCATTTGGTTCACTTAACCTTTGGATGTGTTTTTACAGTATGAAAAGTAAAGAACTTATGTCTCCACCCTTTTGAGATATCCTTATCTGAAGTGCCCATATTGAGGCTGTTGATTGATTTTGAGACTTCTCACACTTCTTATTTTTGTTTGTCCAGCCGTATGCTCCTGCAGAAACGACAGTTCTTTCATTCTCATAGAGTTCAGGTAGTTATTGATCTTTAAACCTGTGAGCTGTTTCAAAATCTTGTTTCTTCGTTTATGTACTTCTTTTGCATGTTAAGTTTTCTTATTATTTCTTACATATCCATGCTGTGTCAACTCATATCTTTGATCTTCCAAAGGTTACACTTGCACTGTAGGTTTCTTTATCAATCGAGAAACTTGGATATGAGCTTGTAATACTCCATTTTTCAACAATTTGGATAGTAATTTATGCACTTACTTTCTTTCCTTTTTTTAATACTTAATTTGCATAAGGTTAAATTTTATAGTTTAATGACCTGATGACTATCTTTCTTTACATATAAAAGCATTTATTTAATATATACATAATTAGTACAAACTCCTTGCATGTTTTTATTTTTATTTTTTGTGGGTTTTCTGATTTGAAGGATTGAATTTGCAGCATTTTTAATCTGTTGCCCCTGTGAATGCGTGTGCCAGGCATGCAGTTATCTTTAATAGGTTTCCTAAGAACTGATTCATTAAGAATAACTTTTAGATTATGAATTATTCATGTGCATTTGAAATTGCAAATAGACGTGTGCTGTGCACATGATCTATATTATGGTAAACTTATTACGAGTTACCAATCTGATAAAATTTGCATGATTTTTTATGTGAAGCCTATGGAGTTTGAGCAAGTATTATCTGATCGGGATAGCGAAGATGAAGTTGATGACGACATTGCAGATCTTGAAGATCGGAGGGTATGCATGATATTCTTTTAGATATTGGGCCAAACACTCCATGTTTAACACTATTAATCTTAGGAACGCAAAAACTAATATCATATTTTCATGTGGCAGATGCTTGATGATTTTGTAGATGTTACCAAAGATGAAAAGCAGCTGATGCATCTCTGGAACTCATTTGTGCGAAAGCAAAGGTGACTATGTTTTGCTGCTTTTGGCTTTCTGATAAGTTTTCAATTACTTTTGTGTGTGGTATCTTTGGAAATTTCAGTTGTCAGTTTATTGGGGGTTCCTTTGATGAGAAAGATTTATTTTCATTGTGGCAGTGTGCTGGCGGATGGTCATGTTCCCTGGGCATGCGAAGCATTTTCAAAACTTCATGGACAGGAGCTAGTCTCCTCTCCGGCTCTTTTCTGGTACTGTTGTTGCACTAATTTTCATAATCATTGGTACATTTAAGGAAACATAATTTGCAGTAGAAGCAAGGGGACCAATTACTCTTGATGTCATTATGAAGAATGGTCATATTATGCATATCACTTCCTGCTTGGGAGTGCTTCTGGAATGAATAAAAGCACTTCCTAACAACTAAAAACAATTCTTCTGGCCGCGTTTGGTAGGAAAATCTGTAAGTTCATAAGAGGCAACAAAATCGCTTTATGGAAAAGCACCTAACAGGTGCTTCTCACTTGGATTACTAACAAAATTTGGGCATTCTTTAAATCAAAGCGCTTCCTCTGGACACAACTGCTTCCTATAGAAGCATTCTCACATGGGCCAACCACCTTGTTGCATTTTGGAACTTTTCACTTATTTTCTTGCTTTTTGGTAGTAATGCATGTATTTGCGATTCATTGGAAAATTGTGTTTGAAATGTCAAGTGCTCATTAACTCAGGTGTTGGAGGTTTTTCATGATCAAACTTTGGAATCATGGTCTGCTTGATGCGGGCACAATGAATAGTTGCAATATCATTCTCGACGGATACAAACACTAGCCAACAGATGCTATTAGAAGTTACAAAAAGTGGAGACGACAGACTTCTTCGGCTTTAGAAAGTATATAATGAGATGGGGAAGTAATTTTTCCCTCGCAGGAGACTGCGGTCACCTTCACAATGTAGTACTTTAAATTATATGATCCTCCCATTGTTTTACATTATTGAGGAAAAAAAAATCAGACTCAATTTATCAATATTAAATTAATGATTACAAGTTCTTGTTACATTTTGTATTTTAGTTCTTCGGATGGAGTTGTGATTCTTTTGCCCCCTGAACTATGTCATAATGATCAACTTACCCCTAGGCATTTTTTTCCCGGTAAATGAAGGAAGAAACAACCAGGCATGAGAGTTCCTGCTCCTGATCCTCCCCAGCAACCCCCTCCACCTGGCCCTCCTCCTCCAGCCCTCGCTTCCGAACTACATCAACAATCTTGCCTAAAAATAGCTCATGTTGCTGCTATTATCACTATGCTTTTCTTTTATTTTCTTTGTAGGGTGGAGTTTGCTTGTTTCTTCCTTCTGTAATTTGGCCCATAAAGGGGTAAGATTGCTAAGATTTTTTCTTGAGCAAAAATGTTGGGTCCTTTGAGTAATTCCATGGATATGGAGAGGCTGGTAGGGGAGGTGGTGGAGATGGGGGGCTGATGTTGTGGGTTGGGGTTGGTGGTAGCGGCTGGGCGGAGATGGAGGTTGCAGCTGGGTACCTTTTTATTTTTTCTCATTTTTCTTCCACATTTTTTTCCCTTAAAAAATAACCCATGTGCAGGTCACATGATAGAAATTTGAATGACATAAAAGAATAAATAGAAATTGACGGCTAGTTCCAAATTATGGTATAGTTTAGAGGACACAACAGCATAAATTTACTTTTTCTTGGTTGATATCGTGTGACAAACATGGCAAGACATATACTTTTTCTTTATGAATTATATGGATACTCAATAACAAGGGTTTTTTTTTCTTTCACCAAGTTTGGAAGGATGAGGTTGGTAGTATTATTAAGGGTGAGGGTCGACTTTTGACTTTTGAGTGGCCCAGGCAAGAAATTGAAATGAGGCTCCTTTCCTTTTGTATACAACAGTTAACAAGAAAGAAAAATGATGCCCCTTTGCTTTTTTAAATGTGGGCCCTTGTGTTTAAAAAACTTGCAGTGATTTTTGTTTGGGCCTAAGAAAACCCTTGTAATATGAGCTTGAGCAGTTACAGAAAGAATATAATGAGGGGTTGTGAGTGAGGGTGTCAATTTCACTATTCAATAACAGAGAAAATGTTAGAATTAAACTTTTTAAATGAATGAATGGTGGGATTGAATAATAACACAATAACACTTGAGATAACTTTTCATGAGTCATTGTGTTATTGGTCGAGAATACCTAAACAGTGCTATCCTCGTTACAAGAGATTTTTTTTTCTCCAATTGAGAGAGAGAGATGCAAAACCGCCGATGTGTTTTATCCCCAACGTGTCTCTCAGTCTACAATGCCCCAAAATCCAAATTAGTTGCACCCATTTGTGTTGAGTTTTATATAGAAGACATTAGGTTAATGGATAAAGATTAATTCGCCTTATACGTAATAATTTCCATATGACATATTTCTTAACTAGTAAGGTGCAACAAATTCTTTTTCCATTTACCCCATGTTTTCCGAATAGAATTCAATATATATAAGGGCAAGCACAATTAATTTGGATTCATGCTAACCAGGATGCATAAACATTACATACATAGATAATACTTATTTGGCAAAATAATAAAGTTTTTACTATAACTTGATTTTCATTTTTTCAAAAATATTCCAGATTTATAGATTGGTGTAGTGGCACAATTACCCACAGAGGTTTTACCCTTTTTCTTTTTGGTTAGTTTGGGGCTCCAGGTCCAAAACAAAGATTAATGGCCCTAGTTTCATGGGAGATTTTATTGGCACCCCATTATTTGCTCTTTGCACCCCATATTCTCCTTATACCCCACTAAATTTTAATAAATTTTAAAATTACTCGCTACACCTCATTTTTCTTCTTAGATTGCCCTCATGAACCTCATTCCTTAACTGACCTGTGTAAACCCCACTGAAATCGTTACCTTGTTTAGTGGTAGTCCACCGAATTTGTTTTTGTTTTTTAGTGGCTATCCACCAAATGTATTTATGTTTTTCAGTAGTAATCCACCGAATTTGTTTCAGTTTTTTAGTGGTAGTCAACCGAAATGAGACTACTACTTACAACCAATTTCCTTTAAAATTTGCCACATGGACAAGGGAAATTAAAAGTTTACGAAAAACTTATTTTCATAATTGTAATAAGAAAATTGATTATAAAGGAAGAGGAAAAGGCAAGAACAAATATATGAAGATAAAATAACAACTATATACATTTAACAAAGAACATCGTTTTTTTTACAATCATTGAGGCACTTCTAAATCCTAAGCTTTTGTTACAATCATTTAGGCACTTCTAAATCCCAATCCATAGGACATGAAAGAAACATTATATCTAACCCTTGCTTTCTACATTTCACATGCCATTTTCTTTGTAAATTTAGTTAGAACAATGGTTTTAATAACACCAGAAGATGATGTGCATTCCAGGTATTGTTTACTAGGCACATTTAACAGAAAGTTCTAAACATTTGAGTATGTTTTATAGGATAATTAGAACTTGTCCCCATGCCATAGTAGTTGAACATTTCTCACATCAAATCCTTGGCATTATGCATCAATAGCCTCTTCTGAAGGGTCCAGATTTAAATCAATGAAAGACGGCCTTTCATTTCTATTTTGTTGGACCTCATTTTGATCATTGTTTTGAACTTTGTTAAGTTCCATAATGATTGTAAACACACACACACATATATATATATATATAGGAAAAATACTCTCTGTATTTACGACAGAGTGAGACCTACATTGTCTGCTTCCGCTTCATCTGCCAGCAAGCTTTTCTGTAGCCTAATAGCCTTCGGGAAACATCAATGTGTTTGAGGAGACTATTGTTCTAATCATGGCACTTTCAATGTGGGAAAATTTAAATTTTTCAGTCCACATTCCAACTATTTCTATTGAAGCTAGAATGACAAGATTTTCCACATTTAAGAAGTGAAGGGCCTGAAAATTAAATTAGTGTATGAGGATTGCTTTTTAAAAAAAAACCTAGGCCAATGACAATCACTGTGTAAGGAACTATTATATATCTACTTATGCAACAACTTACAGATTCAATAGCTACTAGAAGCTTCCGAAGAAATCCTTATCCTGTGTACTTCGATTCGATTCCCACAAAGGGCATCTCTACCATCTATCTTCCATGTATTCTACAAAAACGTAATGTGATAAAGAAAGTAAAGAAAGATACTCTTATTCATCTTCCTATAAAAGTTTTATGAGCTACACTCATGAACTTTACCTTATAGATGCTGCATAAATGATTTCATCGTTCTTCTCTAGGATGGCAGTATAGAAACCTCTAAAATTTAACCAACCCAAATTTGACCTGGAGAAGAACAATTTTACAAACAAATTTCAATTTAGTCATAAGATGATGATGGTATGAATGTTTATACTTATTTTGTGGGCAAAAGCATTAGATCAGGGACCGATATCTAAGAAAGGCAAAATATGAGTTACTAATTATCAACAAAAGGATGTTTATACTAACAAAATATATTATAGAGGAGTGTCTGACTCTCACAAACACAAATTGCAAATTCACCTAAATCATTCCCACGCAGATGAGTCAATAACAAAATTTAGATTGGAGGACAAACCCATATTTGGAATAAATTAGCTCAAACAAAAAGATAAAAACCTCTAAAAGTAATTTTATGACACACATATGAACTTTACCTTATAGATGCTGCATAGATAAAAACATCTATAAAGGTAAAAACCTCTAAAAGTAATTTTATGACACACACATGAACTTTACCTTATAGATTCTGCATAGATAAAAACATCTATAAAGGTAAAAACCTCTAAAAGTAATTTTATGAGACACACACATGAACTTTACCTTATAGATGATGCATAGATAAAAACTTGTAAAAGTAATTTTACGAGACACACATATGAACTTTACCTTATAGACGCTGCATAGATGATTTCATCATTCTTCTCTAGGATGACAGTATAGAAACCTCTAAAATTTAACCGACCCAAATTTGACTTGGAAAAGAACGATTTTACAAACAAATTTCAATTTAGTCATAAGATGATGATGGTAGGAATGTTTATACTTATTTTGCTGGCAAAAGCATTAGATCTGGGACTGATATCAAAGAGAGGAAAAATATGAGCCACTAATCATCAACATAAGGATGTTAATGCTAACAAAATTTATTATAGATGAGTGTTTGACTCTTACAAACACGAATTGCAAATTTACCCAAATCACTCCCACACAGATAAGCCAAGAACAAAATTCAAATTAGAGGACAAAACCAGACTTGGAGTAAAGTAGCTCAAACAAAAAGATAAAAACATCTTAAATTTACCTCTAAAAAGATAAAACCTCTAAAAGTAATTTTATGACACATACATGAACTTTACCTTATAGATGATGCATAGATAAAAACCTCTAAAAGTAATTATATAAGACACACACATGAACTTTACCTTATAAATGTTTCATAGATAAAAACCTGTAAAAGTAATTATATGAGACACACACATGAACTTGACCTTATATATGCTACATAGATGATTTCATCATTCTTCTCTAAGATGGCAGTATAGAAACCTCTAAAATTTAACTGACCCAAATTTGACCTGGAAAAGAACGATTTTACAAACAAATTTCAATTTAGTCATAAGATGATGATGGTATGAATGTTTATACTTATTTTGTTAGCAAAAGCATCAGATCTGGGACTAATATCAAAGAGAGGCCAAACATGAGACACTAATCATCAATAGAAGGATGTCTATACTAACAAAATATATTATAGAGGAGTGTCTGACTCTCACAAAAACGAATTGCAAATTCACCCAAATCACTCC